ATGCTGGCAAACGACGCAAACACAACCACGCCAAGACAGCACCCGACAGCACGCACCCAAGGACAATTCAAACTCCAATTGACCGCCACCATTCTAGCCAATGAAAGAGGAAAAAAAATGAGTCGCGGAAAATATAACACGCAACCACGTATATCCTCACCCCTTGGGATGATTGGACATCCTTTTTGCATATGAATGTTCCAATCTATGTTAAATTCCTAGAATTCTTGAAGGAGTTTCACACAGTTTACCATGACCTTCTCCTTCATAAAATAGGTCAGGTGGCTTTTGGTGGCCTGCCCCTGCAGTGACTGAAGGACTAACTAGCCGAAAAGAACTTCTGAGTCAATGTTCATTGTATCTTTCATCCTGACACAGCTCAACATTGGGGATATCATTAGGTTCTATCCTAGGGCCCTTAATGTTTCTGACCCTTGTGTTTGGTCAAATATGCCTTCTTAACAGCCCCGATGTTCTTGACTTTGACGACGTGAAGGTGTCGAGAGCAGCATAGTGTTTGAAAGACTTTGATAGGCTACAGATAGACCTAAATCTATGGAAGGCTGGTATGACTTTCAATCTGAAAATGCAAGTAGTGCAGTTACGTATCTGTAATTTACCAAATTACTTCTCTAATTTACTTACTGTGCAACTTCAAGGCTTGAATTAGTTTTAGTTCCAACGGAGAAAATTAACACAAGCCTTAGTTACACGGTTTATATTATTATTATTATATCCTTTAGTTCCTAGAGGAACATAGGGCTTCAGCTGCGCACCTCCATTGACTTCGGTTTTCTGACAACTTTTTCACCCTGCTCCAGGTCTGTCCACATGCTTTCATCTCCTCCTCGCATGACCTCCTCCAAGTCACCCTTGGACGACCAACTCGCCGCCTCCCTTTCGGGTTCCACTCGAGGGCTTGTCTAGTGATGTCACTTGATGGTTTCCTCAGCGTATGGCCAATCCATCTCCATTTCTTTCTGCCTATTTGTTTCACAATCGGTTCCTGATTGGTTCGCTCCCAGAGATCCCTGTTGCTGATCTTTTCTGGCCATCTGATCTTGAGTATTGAGCGGAGACAGTTGTTAATGAAGGTTTGAAGTTTGTTTGAGATGCTCTTTATGACTCGCCAAGTCTCTGATCCGTATAGTAGCACTGACTTCACATTGGAGTTGAAAATCCGGATCTTATTTTTGATGCTGAGTGCTGTTGACCTCCACACAGATTTGAGAGTAATGAAAGCTTGTCTTGCTTTTCCGATTCTGGCTTTGATGTCCTCGTCAGTTCCGCCTGTAGTTGAGACGATGCTTCCCAGGTAGGTGAAGGAGGTTGTTTCTTTCAGGTTCTTCCCATTTATGCTGATTGTTGTCTGTTGTTGTTGGCTAGGAATCTTCATCATCTCTGTTTTATCTATGTTCACGTGAAGTCCTATCTTTGATGCTTCTTCTGCCAACTTGTTACTTTTCACTTGCATATCTTCCAGTTTATGGGAAATCAGACATATATCATCGGCGAAATCCAGATCCTCCAAGTCTTTTGTGTCAGTCCATTTTATGCCTGTTCCCTCGTTGGTTGCCGTTGTCTGTCGCATTATCCAATCAATTGCAATCAGGAAGATCATTGGTGATAGTAGACAGCCTTGCCTCACTCCCGTCCTCACTTCGAAGGCTTCCGTAAGTTTCCCGTTGTGGATTACTTGGCATGCAGCATTGTCGTATAACTGTTGGATGAGGTGTATAATTGTCGATGGGACCCCGTAGTAGCGAAGTAGTTTCCAAATGACCTCTCGATCGACGCTGTCGAAGGCCTTTTCAAAGTCGATGAAGTTGAGATAGAGAGGTGACTGCCATTCCAAGCTTTGTTCAATGATGATCCGTAGAGTGGCGATTTGATCAATACATGATTTGTTTCTCCTGAATCCAGCCTGTTCCGGACGAAGTTTTTCATCTAGGGCTTGTTTGATTCTCTCCAGGATGATGCGACTTAGTATCTTGCTTGGAATGGACAGAAGCATAATTCCACGCCAGTTTTTACATTGACTTAAGTCTCCTTTCTTTGGAAGTTTGAATAAGTAACTGTTCTTCCAATCCTCGGGTACTTTGCCCTCTTTCCACACCTTCTCCAGTAGTGGTGTCATCAAGTCCGCTGTTGTCTCTGGGTCTATTTTCAAAGCCTCTGCTGGGATTCCATCTGGTCCCGGTGTTTTCCCAGCTTTAAGCATCTTGATTGCATTCAGGACTTCTGATTTCGTCGGGGGGTCAGTGTTCACTGGTAGTTCTGCTTCCGTTGTTGGTATTGCTGGACGTGTTGTAGGTGGCGGACGATTTAGAAGTCTTTTGAAGTGTTCAACCCAGTGCTTTCTCTGTTCCACCTCTTTGGTGATTGACTTTCCATTGTCGTCCTTTATTGGCTTAATCTGTGTCGAACGTTTGCCCGAAAGGTTCCTAGTTGTTTGGTAGAGTGTGGCGAGGTCTCCTTTGCCTGCAGCTTGTTCTGCTTCGTTTGCCATGGTTTCATAATATTTTCTTTTGTCTTCCCTGGCACTTTTCTTCACTCTTTTGTTCAGTGTATTGTAGCTTGCATTCAGCTCCTGTTTTTGTTGCTCGTCAGTGCACTGGATAATCTTTTGCTTCACTGTCCTTCTCTCTTCTATTAGTTTCCAAGTGTCCGTAGTGAGCCACTGTTTGTCCTGTCTCTTTTTTCTGCCTAGAATTTCTATGCAGGTTTGGCTCCACACCGTTTTCAAGTTGTTCCAGTGCTTTTCAACGCCGACCTTTTCGCTAGTGTTGATTTGTGTCTCGGCTTTGTCCTTTATGCTTGCAATGAAGATGTCCTTTGTAGCCTGGTCCTTCAGCTTTTGAGTGTTGAACTTGGCTTGTGGTCTATCTGCAGCTCCTGATTCCCTGAAAGCTTTTAATTTGATTTGGATTGTCCCTTGTACGAGATAGTGGTCTGAGCCAACGTCTGCTCCTCTTCTTGCTTTTGTGTCCAGTAGGCTGCGCCTCCACTTCCTTGAGATTGAGATGAAGTCGATTTGGTTTTTGGTTTGCCCGTCTGGTGACACCCATGTAGCCTTGTGGATATCTTTGTGCTTGTATACACTGCCACCAATCACCAGTTCGTTGAAGGCGCAGAAGTCGGCGAAGAGTTCTCCGTTTTCATTCATTTCTCCTAGAGCTTCTCTACCCATGATGAGTTCCCTTCCCGTATTGTCTGGTCCCAGTTTGGCGTTCATGTCTCCCATTAGTATTTTCATGTCGCCAGCTGGAGTATTGTCCATTGTTGCCTGTAGTTGCCTGTAGAATTCTTCTTTCTTTCGAGGTCTGCGTTGTTTGTGGGTGCATAACATTGTATGATTGACACTTTCCTTCCTTTGGAGTTGAACCTGGCGGTCATTATCCTGGACGAAATCGCCTCCCATTGTATCAGGGCTTTCGTTGCCGTTGGTGACATCATGATAGCCACGCCCTCGGTGTGCGTGTGGTTATCTTCTGGGTGACCGGAGTAGATCACTGACTCACCTGTTGACAATTTGGTGAGTCCACTCCCATTCCATCTGCTCTCACATATTCCCAGCACTTGTATTCCGTATCTTTTCATCTCGTTGGCGATCTGGGCAGCTTTCCCAGTCTCGTACATAGTTCGGACGTTCCATGTTCCTACACAGACTTTTTCTTTTGGTGCAAGGAGGTTCATTATGCTGAAGTTCTGTAGCAATTTTGTTTACAGGGTGGGGTTGCTAGCCTCACGCCTGAGAAAAAATGATTACATTAAGTAAAAGTTTAGAGAGAAGCAACTTTTTGGGTTGCTCCCCTCAAAATCAGAAAATAACGGACAAACAATGAGAACAACATCAACAAAGGAAACAGTTCACAGAAAAAAGGGCAAAAAGCGACGACAACTATACAATAAGACAACATGCAATATAGTTCAGTACAGTTAACTAAAATGATATCTTAACCATAAACTCACTGACTTGGAGCAACTTGAACATATAAATCCAACAATATATACAATTATAGATGTGTTTATGTTTAAAAATTCCACAAATCCAAACAGCTAGTTATGTGTATTATCTGTCAATAAGATTGTATTTTTTGGATTCAGTGTTCGAAAGGTTAATAATTGTGATAGTTTCCGCAAACTCTTGGCATAAAATTTTACCGAAATAAGAGTTTTTATTTATAAGCAAAATGTAGCGTAGTAGTCGAAAAGCGCGCTATCCCTTATTTCACACGGTTTATATAGCGATGGAATATAAACCCGTACACCTTGCGTCCGCTTACTCTTTAAATTTCCCTAATTTGGAAGGTCGACTCTGGTGTTTTGCTTTGCCTTTGGTCTATGTGGAACAAACAATATAGAAGTCGTGTGTTAGTATACTTCGTACTGTGCGTGAACGTCGACACCCTTAGCCTCTTAAACTCTTTGCCTGCACATGTGGCTACATCACTGTTCACTAGCAGCGGTTTTTTTACAGGATGGGTTTGGTAGCCTCACGCTCACCCACTACTTTACCAACCTTGTTTTTGCTACGTGAGGTAAAAGAGTGTGTTGGCTAGGGATCGAACCCGGAACCACATACGTGGCTGGCGAGCATCCTACCGCAGTGCCACCGACGGTTCTTCAGAAACTAAAAAATGTATATTTATCATACATGTTACTGCTTCCTACAATCTCGATTTTCGACCTTGCTGAGCGCCTAAAAAGAAAGTACCAACTCCATTCACGGCAGTGGCAAGATATTAGCAATACTCATACCACATATAACTGACAACAGCTCAGTTCCCCTTTAAGTCGGCCAAAGCTAAGCTATTCTAGCGGCGTGGTAAACTATGTAGAATTTTAGCAAAAACTAGAAACGTTTACCTGAAAAACAAAAGGAGAGCTTGAAGATATCATTTGGCTTTACACAACGTCGTGATCTATATTGTATGATGGATTTCTGCAGAGCGAAGTTTGATGTTAGGTGCTTCGGACTTGGCGGGTCGTTCGGAGTTATGAACGCAGGAGTTAGAGGTATTTTTGTCTATCTGCTTATACTGAGTATGTAGTTAAGAGCTTGTTTGTTCGTGCTCTGTATTCAAGACCTCATTACGTTTATTTATTCCCCTAACAGTAGTGTGTGAGTTTTTATTTTTATTCCTTCTAACTGAATTCAGGTGTTTTTCTTGCAATGAGAAGGCATTACAACCTTCGCATGGGTGGCCTAGAAAGAGCTTACAAGTACAAAAAGATATACTCAGGTAATGGGACTTGTTAATAACCTAATCTTTTAGTTAAAAGAGTTGAGGATGTTGAAGTGACTGAAGAGAATGCTGATTTATATAACTAACCCATCAAGTGGTGTTTGAATCTTGAGTAGTAGTAGTAGATGCGAAAAGGAAAGAATTAGTCCACACAATATCTCGAATGTACAGTTGCTCGTTATACCAATAAACACTATGTTTCTCGATATCTTGTTTCTTTGTGATTTGTTTGAGTTCCAGAGCAATACTGTCTGTTAGAAGCAATCTACATGTCTCCTCACAAACTTGATTTCCTTCATTTTTATGCCGAGTTCCACGTTGAAACTCAGTCCCAACAGTCTGAAACCTCCCACTTAAGTCACCCCGTTATCATTGGGTATTGCTCGAAATGTTTCCATTACTAAGCTGTACAACTAAAAGTATTGACAGATGAATACTCGTTGCTGACATATCTCTTTAGAATTTTTAAGCAGAGAATAAAGAGAAAAGTCGCCTGTCAGTTGGACAGTGCTTTTCTTGAATAAGGTTGCAGATCCTTCACGTTAATAGTGTGCAATATGAATTTGTGCTGTTCATCCTGCATGTGTGTAGCAGCTTCTCGATGCACAAGATACAGCAAATAAAGTCTAAAGTAAATATGGTAGTTTCATCTTTGATCCTTGTCGTGACATACCACCCTTAGTTCTTTTTCTTGTCATTTATTTATATGAATGTTATTTGATTTTCGCTGCTTAGTTGGGTGTTCAAGTATAAGGTGTGGCGAATTATGATAATGCTCAACAATGACAATACCTCGTTTATGCATCCAGTCATGATGATTTCCTCTTTAAAAAGGATAATTTAATAGCTACGCCTGGGAAAATAACTCGTGAAATTAGGGAAAAACATTGAAATCACGTTGAATGGTGTATAACAAGGGGGATGATTCATTGAAGACCTCCGCAATGTCGAGGATAAGGGTACACCTACAATTAAACCCGTTCGAATTATTTCCCTATCAGTTTCAACTTCGACAGCTGGAGGTTATCGTTACCGCCCAAAAAGTTACTCATATTGTGGCACATGAATATCTTTTCGAGTTAAATGAGTTATTGAATGAACGGTTTCGAGGCGTATTAAAATAGTCAACCATTGGTTCGTACCATCCTTAAGAACTCATTTGAAAAACAAAGATCTGTTTGCACTAGCCAGCCGCTGTTACATAGGGAACTTCACTTGGTTTCTGCGTGCTTATATAGAAAATATTAACATAACCATAGCCTGAAATCTTAGAGCTGACGGAAGAGATACCTTAAAATACCGGCAGTTCTGAGCTATCTTAGACTGGCGGACATTCCACTCAGTATAGGCAATTAAAAAGAAAGTGGAGCATTGAGGGACAACCACAACTCGTATTCTGCTACTACTCAGTCACCCAGTTTTTAGTCACAACTGGAATACGACCAACGACTTCACCAGTCATTTTTATTCCTTACCTAGACCAGCTGCCTCCATAGTCTTATTAGCCTTCTGTCTTTTTGAAGAGGTAACTATATACGTCATCCTTCATAGCGAAAAGCACATGACTTCAAGCTTGGCAGTATAAAATCATGTTTTACTTATTACTTAGCCTGTTCTCATTTTTATATACTCTTTTACGCTTGGTGGAATATGTCTTTCACGTATAATTTTTTTTGCACAGATTGTAGCGCATGTATACCCCTTATCAAAAATGGATTTTTACATACACAATCGCCAACCATAATTTGGTGTATCGATTTTTACCTATCAGATGAAGTAACGCATGGCCATCCTTCTTTGTTAGGATGGAGATCCTTCATTATTGTAATTGCTATTCGTTACCGTGAGTTCTGAGTGCAGCGAAAGACTTCAGCAGCATATGTGTATTGCGCTTGGTCCCCTGAAATAATTTTCCACTGGCCTCATGACTGTCTACACGTGTCCTTCCGTCATTTCCTCCATGTCGAACTCACCCCCGTCTCATTACTTCTCATTCGAGTTCCACTTGAGGGCCTGTAGTGTGTCACTCAAATGTCTTCTCAACATGTATTCAATCAACCTTCATTTCATTTTGAATATTTGTTGAGTAGTAGCTTGTTGGCTTGTTCGCTTTCCATTTATGGCTAGCCAACTGTTCGTCAGTAAAGAGACATGTTGATGAGAACTTGTTGAAATTGCTTATGATGACGTGCGACAAGTCTCTGAACTATGTAGAAGCACTTGATATCCGTGTTAAAATTCTGGGGCTTACTGTTTGTGTTGAATGGTGTAGTTTTGCGTACTGATTATAGTAACAATCATAGTTAAACATCAAACGATAAAATGGGTTATGCATAAATCTTGAAAAGAAGTGCAAAATTACTAAGACTAATAAGCAAACCAAGTGTTATGTAACAAAGTGCGGAGTTTAAAATTATTGAATAGATAAAATGAAATATTACAGGGAACTTCAAGTTGAAAACAGCAATAACAGTCGTCATAATAAGGTTAATGTAAACAGATTAATTAAGCGAAACGAAAAATAAGTGTTTTCCTCCTCTTTTTCATACATATATCAAATAAGAAGTAAAGACTGTAAGAATCCGTGTAAGGAAGGATGGTTGAGCAGGTTGCTGTTAGCAGAGCTCTAGATTCTCTGTTTCGGTAGGTAGAGCTTTAGCAGTACCGACGAGTCGGATGCGTAATGAATCTTGAAGTCTATTTTTGTCTCACAGATAAATCTAAAGGAAGAGATTGTGTCGACCAGATATTCAATTACTGGACTTCTTATAGCTCCCTAACCACTGATGTCGAACGATCTATATTACCTATCTCCGCAAAAGCAGTTGAACACAGTATTCGTCAACTGCGGGATTTCATCTTTTAGCCATGTGGGCTTATGATAGTTTAGAAGTTTTGGAATGACAGCCTTTTAAGTATTTCTAGTAGTTTACTCACAGTCTATGCCTTCATACTGTTAATGCGGTTAAATTCAGTGAACTTACTAGTGTCTAACTGAATTTCCACATAAAGATATTTAAACGAGGAGAACAAGAGAAGCAGAAAATATTATTAAGTTTCTTGTACATATAAAGAAAATCACTTTCACTGGGAATGTAGTATTCGGACATAAAATATTTTCTCAGATTATTGTTTAGGGCTACTTGAGGCTGATGACAATAGTTTGTGCCTGTCATGGTCAGGAAGAAATGGTTCATGAATCACTCTCCTTTTGTGTTAAGGAATCTTATTGGTTTGCCCTGTCCAAATTTTGAGCTGAAAAGCCCTGGTGAGTCTTTACTCTATCGAAAAGTAGTTTATCATATCTGTTAATTATCTTAATCCTTCCGCGAATCAGACCCTGGTTTGTGTAGTGCTTCTTTTTGTCTAAATAAAGCTTTAATTTCAATTAAACCGTTTAATGTTGCCTTCAAAATTAAGCCTTTGGAGTCTGTAGATCAGTCGATTTTAGATCACGTGATTTATCCGTTTAAATAGTTCACTACAAATGTTTATTTTTAACGCTCGATGAAAGAAATTAAAGCCTACTTCTTGTGGATAGTGTTTATATTCTTAATATTATCACCAAGCATTAACAAGGTTGATTTGTTAACCAGTCCACCATATTTTAAGCCTGACAATTTTGTTCTTTATAAGACACAGGATAGAAAAATCCAAGTTTGTGATGGTGTTAATAGACACATTTGTGAAAACCTTAATTCATCCTCCTGGAAGTGTCATATAATTCAGTGGGATTATAGTAATAATGATAGTAATTATGATAAGAACTATGAGCGTAAACCGTTTAGTGATTCAATTGAATTGGGTGATTTGAGCAATGGAATGTATGCACTAACTTGCAAACGTCAAGTTAACTCGACAAAGCATGAAGAAACTGTAACTGAGTATAAGCTTATTTTAACCGATGGTAATTTGTACTTGGATTGTTCATCAAAACCGTTAATTATCAAATTATCATACAGCTTTAATATCACTGAACAGTCATATCGGATGTGTATTTGGCGTTTGCCAGTTCAATCAGTATGGTTAGGACATCTCACTGTTGAACAAATGAATTCAGTCATCTTTCCAGTAGATGACTGTACTGTGTCCAACGATAAGATAAGAATTCAACATGGTGTTCTATACATAAACTCGTCAACCAATCTGAAAAGTGAGATGGTGAATATTATTTGTGCTGATGGAGAGTTTAATGAGGTAATATATATTGATAGTAAGTGATTCATTTCAACATGGAGAAATAGTATTTGACATATAAACAGTATATCCTGTGAAATCATTAAAGGCAATTTGTTAAATGTGTCACAGGGAACAGCCGATTAGTAAATGAAGTTTGTAATTATTCCTGTTATTAGGATATAGTGAGTTTAGCACTTCGATATATGAGCTGCTGTTCGTAGACACTACTTAAAGTACAACTTTATGATCGCAAACAATATTATAGTGTCTTCACAAGAAATAAAAATACCAACAGTCCTATAAACTAACAAAGAGAAGTTCATAATTTCATCACGAGCTGGCATTAGTTAGAGAACCATTGGAAAACCTGGGAATAGTGGACAGCTGTTTCGTCCTGGTTTGGGACTCTTCATCAGTACGCACCCACCGGGGTTCGAACCCAGGACCTTATGATTATAAGGCGAGCTCGTATACCACTAAGCCACTGGGAGCCGACCCAATGGCCCATGAATTCTAACTTCTGCCAATTCACGACATAGCGCGACCCCTAGCCAATGTCTTCGGCGAGTATTTGCCCTCACACCCGACCTGCTGCATCCTAATAATCACGACTTCACACTATAACCCCAAGTAACTAACTATCTGAATAGGGCAAGTCGCTAGTGAGCATCTCATCGATATTGAAGTGTTGGTTTGTGGGGATTTGATTAGTTACAGGATTTCATCAAAAATATCGCACTAACAAGTAATACTTGATGACGAGTATGTCAATATGATGACTTGGATGTAGGATAATTTATGTGACTATTAACACTAAGTGGGAGTCTCAGTAGGTGATCTAACACGTATAGGATACAGCTGATTAATCCCAAATAGTATAAAATGTACAGCCTGGAGTCCAATACTGTCCACTTATAAAAAATCAGCTGGTTAGTGTATTAAGTTCTACTAACTGATTGTTAGTGTTTTACTGTGTCGTAGTAATAGTTTACTTATTTATTCAAACATTTAAGTGATAAGAGTTTAAAAAATAAGTTTAGAAAGTGTTGGGCTAAAAATAGTGTGAATAATAATTGAATAAAAGAAATAACTTTTTTTGACTGTTGGTACAACTCAGTTGATCCTACGCTCAAAAAAGGGGAAAGGTTCAGCGTGGGAGTAGCAAAACCGCACCACAACACTGAAAACCCTACCTATATGAAAAATTCAAAGCACAGAGAAATACACTTATTCTCATCAGGAATCAGGAGGAACGAAAGGATTTCACTTTCTCACCGAAAATCCGGACAATCTTTTATTTTTAACATGCTTTCAGCTACAGGCTTGAACATCCAGGACCTGAAACATGATCGGTGATCTTACACCTACAGTCTCCCCCACTAACCTGTAGTCGGGCTATCTATTTGACGCTGGAAGTCACTTTATGAGGTAGTGTCTCCTTGTGTTTGAAACTAGTTCTGTCTAGGAACAGGTGATTTCCTGAGAAGAACTGTGAAACTCCGCCACAGTTGTTGTTTTTTTGGTGTTGGATTCCATATATTTTCCCAGGATAACTTTCGTACTGAATCAGCGTCCTCAGATAAGCACTAATACCTACTGCTAAGATGACCATATTCAAATGTCTTGCTGTTATCAGCAAGCTAGATATATTCTCATACAATTTGTCTTTTACTTCTTCTGAACTGCAGCCAATTTAGGTCTAAGTGGAGATTACAAGTAGGCATCAACGGGTGTCAAAGTCTTAACATATTTTCACGGAATCACTCAGCTGGACAACTGTTCACTGGAGCTCATTCAAGTAGCAGCAAATCCAGAAGAACTAACCAAAGAGGGTCCTAACAAAAATTAAGTGAACTGTATAAATTCACCATGTTGACCAGGTGGGGGTTAAGTGAACAGCTTTATTGGCTTTTTTAAGCGTATCCATTGAAAGCCTGAGGTGCCAGTGTTAGATATTGATGCCTGTATTCTGACTTGTCATAAGTCCTGTGCGTTGAAAGTGAAAATATGAAGTTGGTATCATGGTTTTGCGAATATGGAGACAACGCTTCTGTGGCTTATTTTGCTACCACTGGTCACAAGGCTTACAGAATGTGAGGAAACTGTTTGGCTAAGAATGAGTAGAATGGGTGGTGAATAAAAGAATTTTATGAGCTATGCGGCCACAGAGTCTAGGAGACAACTGCTTGAGATTGGTTACACACACAGTTTGAAGTTGCAGTTTTTAGAGTTCTGTTCCTAAAGAGAATCTTTCTGCTGGATTCGGATTTCAGGAAGAGTTAAACTAAGAGCAATTATCAATTTAAAGTGAGTTACTTTCTGGCGGGGTTTTGATGGCGAATAAGACGGATAAATGTGTATACTGACTTCCTTCTTTGGGGGAAGGGATAAGAGTGTACATCCTACTTCTGTTAAACACTAATCCGTAAGCAGGACGACTTCATCAGCAAGATCACACGAGAAAGTAACTACTTTTAATCTAACCCCTACCCATATGAAGTTTTTGGAGTAGTAGAGCCTATGGAAACATTCGTGCTAATCTGAATCGCTTGTTGGATAATTACGAAATGCAAGGTCAACCACCATGCCAAGATAGAAGATACAGGTGGAGTGCCATATAGGAGTGCGGGAACTTGTACTTTTACACGTTGCTGCAAGTTTGTACGGTGATTTGTCGGACGTCACTTACGTACTGTTATAGGTTGAAACTTATTTACACTTTTGTTATTGGGTAACGATACTTTCCTGTGACAGTGGAACATTATAATTTGTCTCATATATAACGAAGATAAATCGATATGTCTAACGTTAATAATGTCAGATTTCCTTCAACTAGATGAAATGACTGGATCTAGGTAGACGTCTGAGTTACTATCACTAAGAAGGGATAAAGTGAAGTTTCTGTACGAAATTAAAAACTGGAAATAAAATCTAGGTAACACTTAGTTCTGTAAAACAATACTTCTCTTAAATTGGTACTGCCTATGGATGGCTTGCACACTTCAGGTTATTCTCTTAACCAAATTATTCTACTTCTGAAAACATTATAGTTATTGGACAAGGACCAATAGTGTTTTTGGAAAGAGAGAGAGAATTCAACTGCTGTTATTCTACTCTACTGTCAAGATTTTCTATGTTACATAGTGCGACATCACATAAACTGTCCACTATAATGGTTGCGAAGAGGTTTATCAAAGGAAATTATGCGGCAATGTTGTGAATGCATAGAATGAAAGGTCGATGACATTCCTCAGATCTTTATTACTGTAACATTACTTTCTACGACAATAGATTGAAAACTTATGGTTCTCTTGGCACCCGCTGTAAGTCTGAGCCGAAAGTGGTGGCGTCTGTAGACTCTACTTTGGAAGTCGGGATATACCGATCGACTTTAAGTATGCCAAGCAGCACTACGCTAATTAATTACTTCTAAACAATCTTGGCGCTTGAAAACAATGAACAGAGAGAAGCAGATGCAGTAGCACGAGTAATGGGTGCGTAAATCACCGAAGCAACTTTTGAAACAAAAATACTACAGAATAAAATCCAGAGATGTTTGGCTAAATATACTCGTAGCCTCTTTCAAGAATTTAACTTTCTAGCTATGAATCAATTGTAGGTGGATTACGTTATGTTGATCAAAACACTGAATAGGTTTCAGATCTCGACGAAAGTGTACTTGTATTATCTTTGTTTTCTAAAGATTCGGAAGTACAGACGTCCAATACTCAACGGATCAGCAGTCATTGTGGCATAGTTTGAAGAAAGTAACTAGAATTTAAATGAACTGTCGTCAAGATTTGACAGGATAGTTCTAAAATATTTGGGTGCCGAGTGAGAAGTAGACATGTGTAAAATTTATATTTGTAAAATCTCAGCGAGATTGCAATGATTAATTGCAACGTTCCGTTCGGCAATCTAGTCCGAACTTCAGGGAAATTAATCGAAATTAACATAACAGAGGTTTATATATAGAGGGAACATCTCTTGTTTTTAAGAACTTTGTCCAATCATGAGTCATAAAACAAGTATCCACAAGTATAGTAAACAAAATTGTATGAGCTGTGATCAAAATTTATGTTAATTAAAGCATCCAGTTTGAATTCATTCAATTCACGGAGAGTTGTCATCCGAGGTGAAGAAACCATTGTGTTAAAATCATTGTGTTAAATAGTTCTGGAGCTGGTCGATGAAATAACCGTTTCTGTTTGTACATATATTTTTGCGCAAACTTGCTGACGTCCTTCTAGCAATGTGCACTTTTATGCAATATAATCATTCCGAGTTTATCAGCAAAAGTTTTTTTTCCCAAGCCTTCCGCTGTTTTGGAGAATCATCAACGAGCTTTGAATGCAGAATATTTCAGTATGTAACCATAATATCAAATAAGACCAAGTGGTTTATGACCGTTTTCAGATATGATTTCCAGTGAAAATCGTCTTCTGAATTTATTCTGGTCGCTATTTTCGGGTCACTTTAAATATCGTGCACAATCCCAAATAAAACATTTTAGGGCAATTTATAGGCAACTGAATGCAAAAATGTCGAGGAAATGCCTCCTTTTTCCGAAAAAACCCAAGCTTTTGTCCCGGAAAACCCGTAAGTCCCCCAAATTCTCCTAAAATTCCCTAAATTTCCCCATCTTGTTTTCACCGATAATTATCCATAGTAGTTGTTCACAGAAACATGGAATCGCACCCACAAAACGCAATTAATAATAGAAAACAGTATATATATATATATATATATATATATATATATATATATATACTTCATACGTAGTAAAATGTATGTACACAATTATACTGGAGTAGAAATAATGTCATGATGAAAATTACGGCTTGTCCATTGCATTCTCTTTGTCACTGTCACTACTGATTTCCTGTAAAGGAAAAATACAACAGATTAATGAGGTCATTATATAAGGATTATTTACATACGAAATAGAAAATAATATCTTACCGGTGATAAAGTTGAATTCCTCTCAGCAGACATGAAGGATTGCTAAAATGTAAGTAATCAAAGAAAAAAATTACTGAAGACTGTGCATAAAACGTTAATGCGAATGATGACATTATTTCATGGAAAAAAAACTTATTAAAAAAGCAGCTGATATCCATTGCATAAGAAATTAGTAAAAATTTGTTGAGTGTGGCTTACCTTGATTCTCTGAAGCCTTATCAGTTTACTTCACAAGCTGTGTAATTAGTTTCGCGTTGCCGTACCGATAGTTTTTTTGAAATCATTGTACTACAGATATCTGTAGTTCACCAAAGAAAGCTTATGAGCCACAGCAATTTGTCATTTTCACTGATAGCTTACGAAAAGATAATTTTAATTTTGTATATAAGAGTTTATCATCGGGTACCAGTCAGTTAATATGTATGGCTAACTAAAATAAAGCAATGCCGTTCGTAATATTGCTATAATCTGATTAGTGAGGAGTAGTTCAGCTCTCAACGTAGGAATAAAATCAGAGGGCTAAAATTAGTGGACAGTTTCGATACTCGGAACACCAAAACTTTAGGTAATACATGGTGTTTTATTTAGAAGGTTAGGAATATATATATATATATATAATTTTGTGCATTTCCAACTCATATTTTTGTAGCACCGGACAACAGTGTCAAAGCGGTCGCCTCTGTGGTAACACCCAATGATCCCATCTATGATGATGAAGATATCCGTCTCGAGTTTTATAGTGACTATCCAATAAGTTATACATACGGCCAGAATGTTTCAATTGGACCAATCAAGTGTATCGTTAGATGGACAAGTACGTTGTATGATTTGAAATGGCGAAAGTTAAGTGGATATGATGAGATAATGCAACCAGATACTTCAGTTTTAACGATAACTGCAAATGATTCCTCTATAGCTGGTCAGAACGCATTCCAATGCCGTCTTGATTCTGGAAATAAGTGTAAATCCAGGCTGTTCATTTATGTAAGATTTCGTAAGTTAACTGGTAACTGTTCTGTAATACTTTTCAAAATGAATTAAAGCCAAATTAACGATTGTCAGAAGCTACGAAAGACTGAGTGGCTGTTCTATTCTGATAAACAGTTATTCAGGAATAATTACCCTCAGTACATAAATTAATTGGAAGTCCATACCACGTTCTTTAGAGGATAGATTATCTTTCAATAAATTTATCAAAATTTATTGATGCATACATTGAAAACATGATAAACTTGTGATGACAGCACGCTAATCCCTTAACTTTGTTTCCACCTGTTATCAGGAAAATTTGTGATCTAGTCACTAGCTGGCAAAGAAAACTCAGTGACGAAATCTCTGTGTATTTGGGGCTGAAAGACGCAGAATGGAACAATAGGTGGTATTCGTATTTCCGAACATCATCCAACGTGGTTAAGTAAGGGACAAAAAAGATCTATTCGTAGCTCTATTTTAGCCCACCTCGTTGATACTGAGCATAAGATTGATGTTAATACAGCATTTAAAATTACTTATCGCATTCCGCTTATCTTAATTTTGCTCTGCGAGTTCGTCTTCTACAGATGGCTGAAGCGATTGGAATTCACCTGAAGAAGCCAAGCCTATGTGTACAGAAAAAATTTGTACAGTCACTTTCCCTACCATGGCCATCGTCACAAGAATGGATAAACAGGACTGCGTCGCCCCTCCCCCTAAACCTATAAAATTATATTTGTCTAAATTATTTATTTTGACCACTTCATCTCTAATTTACGTGTTGTCCTTGTAAAATTAATTTATTCTATCCATTTCTACCTTTTAAATCTGCATTGATTTTCTTCGTTAACTATTAACCCACTGACATTTTGGACACTTTAATTATTGTTAACAAACTTATCGCCACTTGATTGTCAAACTGTTGTATTGTAATTAAAATGCTATATATATTAGAGTAGAGCCAGAAATGAGGATCTAATTGAAAAGTATATGGGGTTATCAAGATTGCAGATTTACCCTGAGGGTGACTAGTAGCAATAAGGAAACCCGTATCTAAACTTTGTGCTGCGCTGTTTTTGACATCCAAGCTGGTATACCGACAAAGCCCAGCAGAAAATTACTCGAATCACCTCTGAAGTTGACACCCAGGCTCTGCTCTATAGGAAAATTCACCACAGACATTGATAAAATATAGACACAGACTATATAGCTTCTCGTCAGAATATGTAGGTAGATATGAAATACTGCTTTTTTTTCACAATTTTCACTATGGAGCGATCAACGTAAACATTGAGTTTCCGGAAACTGACTTACTCTTAGTTGGATCGTTGGTAAAAGTATCTACCTTAAGAACTAGCTCAGAACTTTTAGTTTCTGTGATGAGCACAGTTGCCTAGTTACGCCTTGGAATTCAGCTACCAATGTCCCACAATGTTGTCATTTCGGGTTGAAAAGGTTATTTGACGAAATGAAAGCTATTTGAATTATCACGATGGTTATATTCCCAGATGCTTTGGAAGGATGTGCGAATAACAATTGAGACTGACCTTCCCTAGTCATTTTAAAGTGCTCATTCACCTCTTTGCGTTATTTGCTAGCTTAATCCATTTATTAACACGTCCTAATCATTTAGTTCTAATACTTATTTGAAATAAGTGAATGTAGTTGGAAGTAACACTCTCTCTATAACTGATGTTGAACATTCAAGATCATGTGGTAGTTTACAGGAAGGCTAAATGAAATCTAATTTGCATAGGACTGTTAGACTTCATTAAGTTTGTCAAATAAAAATCCTCCATGCAATCAAACAAAATCCCTGCAAAACCAATACTTGAAAAATACAATTGGTTATGGTTGTTTTAACTAAACAGGTAAAGATTGGCAATTGGAGTTACGTAATACAAAATCGGTCAAGAAAATTGGGTGTTAATGAAATTAGGGTAGTAACAAAGGTGATGAGTTGTCACAAACAGTTGTTAAAAAGAAGTTATATAATGATAAGTTTATTGACCCTAGTCTGTACCGAATAAATCATGAAAGCCTACTACTAATTTGACCTCATTTATTGAGCGAAATTTTCTCCTATAAATAATAAAACTGAAGAAGAAGTCTAAGTGTATCTTAAGTTAATCGACGTTTGCTATAATGAAATACAGATTTTTTTGAAACGCCATTAAAGCAACGAATTTTCAAAATGCTGTTCTGGAATTTTCAAGTATTGGTTTTGTAGGGATTTCTTTTGATTGCATGGAGGATTTCACCATGACCTGACATCAGTTAGAGAACCACTGAAAAACCTGGGAGTACTGGGCAGCTGTTTCGTCCGTCTAGTTTGGAACTCTACAGCAGTACGCACCCACCGGGGTTCGAACCCAGGACTTTCTGGTTACAAGGCGAGCTCGTAGACCATTGAGCCACTGGGACCTGATCCAATGGTCCCTGAATTCTAACTTCTTCCAGTCCACGATATAGCGCGACCACTTCGCAATGTCTTCTTCGATGAGTTACTGCCTCATCTTCAACCTGCTGTACCCTACTGGTCACGGCTTCCCACTAGAACCCCAGGTTAACTACCTGAATAGGGCCAGTCACTAGTGAGCATCAGATTAATTTTCAAGTATTGGTTTTGCAGGAATTGTTTTTCAGGGAAATTATACTACTTTGCAGTAGTTAAAAAGTTTCTTTAAATTGTAACGTGTGAATACTTGTCGTCATAACGTATTTAGCTGTATGCTGCAGATAACTTCAGTCAATAAAATGTTTTAGCATGTTTTCGTTCAATAAGGGTGTTCGCACACTAATGGAAGGTACAGGGATGTTTGGTGATCATCTATAGATGGAGAGTCGACCGCCTAGGGCTGATAAAGTCTTATTTGAACTTGAATATGCACACGGGGACCATGATTCTAAGGCAGCAGATGTCCTGTGAACCAATTATTTTTCTCCAACAAGCACAGAAGTAGAAATGGTTAAAATGATAGAACATAGTTGACAGCTAAAACTTAGAGTTGTAAAACAGACATGGTTTTAGACTTCGAAGAGAAAACCTCACTTCTTTTGCAAGAATTTTTTTCAATACACTTTGATTCCACACCATATTTTCGGTAGAAGTATGGAATTTTCTGCATGTGATATCGGTAGCCCGAATTTCGCAGGCCGACCATATATATCAGGTGCTCGTCGGCAGGGGATCGAACCTCGGGCCATATGCATGGTCGGCGAGAGTCCTAACCACTGTGCCACCGACGCATCGAATGTTGTACCTCGACTAAGGCTTCATGAATAATTTCTCTGCTGACATAATAAATCACTTATGAATTTACGAGTTTGTTGATGCTGTCGGAACAGAATTTGTGAAGTTTTAAAACATGTATTTGATCTGGATCAAATTCAGTGGCACTGCTTCTTTTTCGTGCAGTCGTCAAACATGTCTATGGTGCCAGTTGTACAACCTTAGCAGACTTCAGTGGGACTTATAAGCAGAAGTTAACAGTAGCATGAAGGGGTATCTTAAAGCTGAGACGATTAAATATACTTACACAACAGTGCAAAGTGCTACACTTCGCAGAAGCACAAATAAAGTAGTGAAGATTTTCAGAATCACGTGGACGTAAACCGCATACATCTGCACCAATTAGAATCATTTTCAGCCATTTCTCCAGCAGTTTCCAAAAATTGATTCTTAGCGTCTAGAAGAAGCTAAAGTAAAGTAACCAGAAAAAGTTTATTGAAGAAATAGAAACTATTCTTAAAGTCTTTTTAAAACTAAATTCGCTCCATAAAAAACAAACAAATCTGATTGGTTGTCTAGCATTGCAGATCCTCGGAAATTCAAGTCAAAAATGCATACTATTCAAAAACTGTTCAATCAGGTTATCATGCCAATACATGCATTCATGACTTCACGGCCAACAATGATAGGTTGTCCAATCCAATAGTTTGGATTTAACAGATCGGTCCTAAAGTTTATTATTCCAGTGTCAAATAACTCAGTTTGACGTCTTTGTATGAGAGTAACTGTCTCGAAGTGGAATGTATGTAAGTAGAAAATATGAAGACGTTATAAGGTTTAGTTTAGTTGTCTTCTTAGCAATTTTTATCTAAGTTATAATCACATGATTAGATGTGGCATTAAACAATGAAGGAAAGTCAGCCGATGAGATAATAAATTATTGCCAGCTATAGTGACCAGGACATTTGTTATAGATACGTACCCACCGTGCTCCTCTTGGAGTAATCTTAGTTGAGACAGAATTATTTTGGAAAAGACTTAGTGGAAGTCAAATAAAAATCAAGTTACAGGATTTTCATCATGAGCGGATATTAGTTAGGGAACCATTGGAAAACCTGGGAGTAGTGGACAGCTGTTTCGTCCTGGTTCGAGACTCTTCAGCAGTACGCACCCACCGAGGTTCGAAACCAAGACCTTCTGCTTACAAGGCGAGCTGGCTCGTATACTATTAAGCCCCAGGACCTGATCCAATGGCCCACGAATTCTAACTTCTACCAATTCACGACATAGCGCGACCCCTAGCCAATGTCTTCGGCGAGTACTTGTCCTCACACCTGACCTGCGGCCAGTGGCTTAATGGTATATGAGCTTGCCTTGCAAGCAGACGGTCCTGGGTTCGAACCCTGGCGGTGGATGCATACTGTTGAATAGTCCCAAACTAAGACGAAACAGCTGTCCACTACTTCCAGGCTTTCCAATGGTTCTCTAACTAATGTCGGCTCATGATGAAAATCCTGTAACCAATTAAGTCCCTACAAACTAACAATTGAAAAATCAAGTTTACGATCACTGGTTTAAGTCATGTAGGAAAATGTAAGTCACCCGGTTGAGGTTATTGGGATGTTAAGAACCAATGATTAGGGCCTGATAGTGAAATGGCTCCAAACTATTCACAACGATATGGACGCATCATGGGGATTTTAAATATCCTGATAAACCGTTATATAATCACGAACGTTCCTGTGACACTGTTGTATACTCATTGTTAGACCATTCTACTTCCGTTTTCTTTTTTCATTTTGCCTGTGATATTTTGAAGCCTGACAGGTTGACTTGACCCACTTTTGTGTCATCCATTCAGTAAGAATTTGTGTCTGTTATCAAAAATTAACAGAGATAATTATGATTGCTTTTCTCTGAAAGGCAATCAATGTCCTTGTGCATGCGCGAAATTTTTAATGTTATTCTTATCACTTATTCAGTAACTGTTTTCATAATGAATCAGTGATATAATTAAATTACACTGAGGTATAAAGACGGACAGATTCATTTGACAATTTAAAAACGAATAACGAATTTTTGTTTACTGAAGTTTATAGGATAAACATTAAAGATAAAAATACATTCATATTTCTACCGTATAGGTGGTTAATCTAGACTGAAAATACCTCGATATGTGGTTTAGTAGCATTTTCTCATGTGAGTATTCCTTTCGAAATTCATATTGCCGTCATTTACATGATTACATTTGTGGTGAGAGCTGTTTGCAAGCCAAAATTACAGACAACAGCTGACGTCAATGTTTACGTCCTGAATCCGGGTCATTGACAAAAAAAACAATAACAAGGCTTAACCTCGAGGAACTCACCAACCAATCACAGCAGACTTAACGTGTGCAAATACAATTCGCAGATGTATGGCTTAAATTTCTAAGAAACGGTCACAAGCAGTACAGAATAACCTTCAGCAAGAAAACAACCAATCAGAAGACGTCTCCTCTCTGCTAACAATAACGCTAATAATAATGTACATAAAAATCTATAAATATCTCTTGATTTTTTCAGTAAACGATCTTGTGTCTGACCGTTGTCTTCTGTTGTTACACATTTATTGACGATTCTAATCATTTGAACACTAACCTCATCGTTGTGTTACCTAATTTACATTGTCTGATGTACTGGATCGATATCCACCAGATAACAATTATCTGGCTTCCTTGAAGTTTCATACATGCGAAATTTTTAAAATGCTTTTTTAATCACTTTTGTCTGCGTATTTGAGGTGATGTAGCTGATATCATATAGTTCGCCAAAACAGAAGTGTAAGAAGTTATTCTTAAATGGACTTTTAATGCCTTTTAATTACTAAATTGTTGCTTACCTTCAAATTAACAATGGCATATTTGAGACTATTCAATGTGATAGTCACTCATCTTTAAACTGAGTGCTGAATTCCATTGAAATCCAAGGTATGAGATTTATTATTATTGTTCCCTTGGATTACTAGTGGAACATAGGGCTTCAACTTCACGTCTCCACTTGCTTCTGTCTTCCTTCCACTGTACTTTCCACCTGCATTCATGTTAGTCCATACTCTTTCAACTCGTCATCACACCATCTCCTCCATGTCACCCTTACATTGACGTCCCACTCGCCGCTTCCCTTTCAAGTTTCACTCGACCGATGGCCTGACGCGCGATGTCACCCAGCAGCCTCCTTGGCGAGTGTCCAATCCATCTCCACTTCCTCCTGCATATTTGTTGGGCGGCGATTGGTTCTTGCTTTGTTTGTTTCCATAGTTCCTTGTTGGTGATTCTCTCCGACCCGGCCATCTGATCTTGAGTATAGAGCCAGCGAAGACAGTTGTTAATAAAGGTCTGCAACAGGTTGTTGGAAATATTCTTTGTGACCCGCCGCCCAAGTTTCTGATCCGTATAGAAGAAATCACTGACTTGACGTTTGTATTGAAGATCCGACCGCATTTTGTTGTTGATGTTGAGTGACGAAGATTTCCTTCCAGATTGGTTTCAGGTTGATGAATGTGTTTCTCGCCTTCCCGATTCTCCCTCGATTTGACATCCTCGTCCGTTACGACTACCTGTAGTTGAGACAATGCTCCCTAGATAAGTGAACGAAGTGACCTCTTTCAAATCCCTCCCGTTGATGGTGATTGACGCTGGATGTTGCTTCTGTTGTTGTTGTTAGCTGGTTATTTTCATAACCTCCGTCTTGTCTACGTTCACATGGAGTCCTGTCTTCGCCGGCTGCTTCTTCGACCAGTTTGTCGGTTTTCACTTGTAAGTCTTCGATTTTGTGACAGTGGCATCAAACATAAATCATCCACGTGCGAAATCCAGATCTTCCAGGTTCTTCGCGTCGGTCGGTCCAGGATATCCCTTTCTTCTCGTTTCCCACTCACTGTCTGACGCATAATCCAGTCAGTCCACCACAATTAGGAATATCATTGTGGGTATAAGCACCCTTTTCTGACTCCTGTGTTTACTCCAAACGCCTCGCTGAGTTTTCCGTTGTGGATGACTTGACATGTGCCGTTGTCGTACAGTCGTTGAATAAGGTTGATGAATATTTGGGGTACGCCATAGTACTCGAGTAGTTTCCAAATTACTTCGCGGTCAACGCTGTCTGTCGAAGGCCTTCTCAAAGTGTATAAAGTTGAGGTAGAGGTTTGATTGGCATTCCATGCTTTGTTCTGTGATGATGATGGGTAGAGTTGCAATTTGGTCAGTACATGATTTGCCTTTCCTGAATCCAGCTTGTTCTGGTTGGTGTTCTGCATCCAGTGCGTCCTTCATTCTCTCCAGGATGATGCGACGTAGGATTTCATTTGGGGTTGACAGGAGCATGATTCCTCGCCAGTTCTTGCAGAGTGAAGCGTAAGTCGCCCCTCTTTGGTTGTTTCACGAGGTAACCTTTCCTCCAGTCAGTAAGCACCTTTCCCTCCTACCAGACCTTCTGCAATAATGGAGTCAGAATGTCTGCTGTAGTCTCTGGGTCCGCTTTCAGTGCTTCAGGGGTATTCCATCTGGTCCAGCTGCTTCTCCAGCTTTCAGAAGCTTGATTGCGTTCAAGACTTCAGCTCTCGTTGGAGGATTGGTGTCAACTTGCAATTGAGTGCGCGCTGTTGTTGGTATTTCTGGACGGGTTGCAGGTGATGGTCGGTTCAAGAGTCCTTTGAAGTGATCCACCCATTGTTTAATCTGTTTTTCTTCCTTGGTAATTGGGTTCCCTTGTCTGTCTTTTATAGGTTTCACTTGTGTTGATCTCTTCCGGATAGAGACTTGGTTATCTGATATAGTGTCCTCAGGTCCCTTTTGCCTGCTGCCTACTCAGCTTCAGTGGCGAGGTTGTCGTAGAATCGTCTTTTGTCCTTACTAGCACTATTCTTCACTTATTTTTCCAGTGCTGTGTAAGTTGAGCTCAGTGTCTGTTTCTCTTGTCCGTCTTTACATTGAATCCTTTTGTCTTTCACCATTCTCCTCTCCTCTACTAGTTTCCAAGTGTCCACTGAGAGCCATTCCTTGTCTTGTCTCTTCTTTCTTCCTAAAACCGTTGAACACGTTTCGTTGAAAATCACCTTCAGAGACTTCCAATAGTCTTCCACGAATGATTCTTCCGTGATGTCACGTAGTGTTTTCTGCTTTGTTCTGACAGTATGTGATTTGCATAGCAAAAATGATGACAGTACTTTCGGTGTAAGTTATTCATCGAATTTCATGATAACATTACGAATGCTGAACTTAAAAAGTCACATTCCATCTGATACCTATCAGTCTTGATGTTAATTTCATTATAAGCTGAAGTTTCTTCAACAGAATCCGATTAAACATCTGCTTCAAAGCGAACTGGTTCCTGAATGGGTATATTTCGACAACATACGAAAGAAGTGTCTGTCAAATTGTTGTATTCCAGGCATATCTTTGTAACGCTATCACTCATTCATTAGTATACTGGCTTAATGTGCATCATGAAAGAAGCCGGGAAATGCAGCTGTAAGCATATGCAGGAGTGAGCTAAACAGAAAAGTTGTAGATAAGCCTGTTGTTATTGTCCTTACAAATGGCTGTTGGTTTGAAGGGACTGCGCAAGTAATTGCAACAACATCAATAGATACAGGGATCAACTTTCGGCCGATCAGTGGACGATAAACCTGATATGAATACAAGAGTCAGCCATGTATTTATGCTAATTAACAGGCTGTCTATGTAAGGTAATACACAAGTTTCTGAAAAGTTAATGACTTAGGCTTTCTTTTTGTTCAAAGTAAGTCAAATTTCCCTCGTTGCTTCTCCAAAAAAATATTTTACACAAGATGAAAATGCCAAGATATTTAATCCTTACTTCTTTAGTTGTTACTACTAACCACAAACTTTCGGTTTTGCACAAATTATAAGATCGTAGATCCATAGTTCTAAGGAGTGGTGAATTAAGGCAAAATCAATACTTACTTCTGCTTGATTTTTATTGGTTACTTCACTGGTTCATATCAGTCTACCATGAAGACTATTATGAGATTATTTCTACTTCTGATTATTTCAGGAAATTTAACCAGAATAACTTTCACTCCAAAAGATCGTATACAGAAGTATGGAGATACGCTTCATTGTCTATCAAATGGGCTACCGAAGTCAAATATACAATCTATCATAACAGTGAAACATGGATCCTATGCCTCTGCGAAGGTAAAAGGCGATCATGTAGTCTGGTTATTTACCGGTAATCTGTATACCTATGTCACTCTGTACTGTAAGGTGTCTATGATATTTATGGGGGAAACTTACACTCAACTAAGTAAAGAAATATTTGTGTATCTAACAGGTCAGTATAGTTTGCGCTCTTGTTCTTGTTAATTTATAATTTTTTAACCTTGATACTCATTTGCCTTCAATGGTTCCCTTTGTCAAGGAAGTCAAGTTTCTGTTTACTGAGGACATCTTAGTATTCATTTGGTGCATATGTGATAATCTTAAGAGTTTGACACTTAAAAGAGGCTATTCGTGATGCCGAGTCACTTTATAACATAATGCTCATCTCTTGAAACTGGGTCGACATACTTAGCAGCATTATGATGTTCATATTCAACGTAATTGTCACTGGATTCATTCTCACCTTGGTAAGTGTTAGGATTCTCTTCGATTTCGTATTTATTTAGCACGGAGTTCTAGTTATTATCTATGAATTAGTTTCAAACAAATCCTGTATACTTGAATATCACTACCTTTAAATCTTCTAAGTGCTAACGTTGAAGGATTGTGCATAAAATTAAAGGGGGTTAGGCATGCAGCGTGGTGCTTTCAAACCCAGTGGTTTCCTATCTACTTAATCTAGGTAAAAATTTATCACTAATTAGCAGAGTGAAGTTACAAAAAGTATGCATTCGTCTGCTATTTATTGAAGAATTTCGCAGATGTGGTTGCGAAACTCTCTTTAGAATGAATACATGACTATTGCTTTTTGAGTTTCTCTAACACACACATATCTTCGCATGCATAACCTATTCTGTTTAACTGAAGTGATTACCATTAGTTGGCATGTAACAGGAAATATATTTTCCTTAGGAGTTTCGGGATTTATCAGATGTGAAAAACGAGATAAATGACAAAGATCCATATGATGTTTGTTTATATTATCGTATGAATGATGCATGTGCTCCAAACTTAAAACCATAAGAATGTTTATACCAGTCACTAAAAGGTTTAATTGTGAACGACTCATTTTTCAAAAGTCTTCTGTTTATGTTAAGTATGTGAAACATTCTTATCGACAAGAACAAAGTTATTAGTCACTTAGAAACAGAAATCCATCAAATTCCCATTTCTAGTACTCGAGTTTAAAGCTTTCTTAGGTTAAAGGTCGCAAAGCGCCTCAACTTCTCAGTTATTGTTGCTGATGGATTCAGTAGCACCTATCTTTGCAAACGAAAGGTGATCAGTCATCTCATGAAGGGTGCTGCGCAGCAACAACAGCTTTAGTCGAAGACTTGTTAGTTAGTATGATATATATATATATATATATATATGTACGTGAAACCATTCAGGATAGCTCTGCGTTAGCAGACTACTGTCAATGTATTCGGTGATGATTGGAGGTGAAGTGAAAATCTGGGTGGCTATAGGATTTGATCCAGAGACTTCTTTCTGAATTATCAACCTAGCCCTCTGTCACTTCAGCTTCGACACTCATAATTTCACTATTTATTCATTGCAAACTATTTCTCGATTAAATAAAGCTTCTTATTGTGAATAATATCTCGATGGAAAGATGTGTTATTCGTCATCTTAGTAGAGATATGCGAAATTCATATCAGTTCATAAATCTAAAACTTTAAGGTAATTAGTTGTATATTTGCCTCTTTTAAACTAGCCAAAATTCGAGTTGATCATTCGTACTTTTCGACAAATACTGGGCATGCAGAGTTGTACGTTTGCGTCAAGATGCTATAAAACTGATTGCCTAGTCAACACATTTTTTCTGGCTCCATATATGATGGCAGATGTTTAATTAGTTCCTACAGTTAGTCATTCTAATTGACAATAACAAAATATTTGTTGTGGGCATGGACAACATCAGCTGGACTATATTTGACTGAATATGTTAGCCAGTATTGAATTTCGATAGAAAGTGAGAGTAATGTATAGTCCCTAACTTATTCCAAATGCTCTAAGCTGAAACTAAGTTGTGTGCATAATTGTAGTGCATGTATTAGCCTCGTGCAGCTGTGCAGCACCTAAGTTACTTATTACTTTACCAATTTAGATGGTTTAAAAGTAAGGTATTGCCGTTTCTGTGATACTTGACACAAACTCATTCATTCAAAATGACTGTTTTTAATAGTACTGCTGACTCTGCAGTCACTTAAACATTTGTGAGGTCTATTAAGTATCTGAGGTCGAAGTTTTGCCCATTTATGACTTAATACCTACGAATAACGCGTCGCTATACTGCCGTAGTGTTGCGAAACACAGGTGGGACAGACCTTGAGATCAAGTTTCATAGGGTACAAACAACTGGTCACTCAATATATTGCGGTCCAACGTTTCATGTATTATAAGAACAGTTAGTTCTTGACATGCAGTTTCCATCATCTGATCTCGTGAGTGATTATCCAGCTCTAGAGATCAATTTATAACGTGATCCGCACGGGAACTGATAGTCTGAAGATTGATTCTGCAAACAATGAAGGATATGAGTTTGTTAAGAATCAAAAATTAGGATAAGATATCTTTAATTTGCAAAGGTAAACTAAGATTAAAAAAATGTCCTTATTAAATTTTTAGCTGAACTAGAGTATTTATCTTTTACTCTCTAATTTTTTTGAAGGGGATGTGGATTTGAAATTCTTGCCTGATTTTAATCTGTTGTGGCACAACCAAAAACTGGAGTGTATTTCGAATTTTCAGGAGTACAGTAAACCAATAATGATGTTAGATTTATATCCAACACCACTTCGTCCTAAGATTAGTTATCCTACATTGGATTTGTTCGAAATGAAACCAGGATTTTATGAAGTGACTTGTGATCATTTTATACCATATTCTATAAAACGCAGGATAAATAAATTCTTCTATGTTACAGGTGAGTTATACACAGTGATTAGCAAAGTACGGATTAGGAAAGAGACCAACTAGAGAACTTTAATGTTCATCAAAACGATGAAAGAGGTGATTTGCAGTTTACTTTCGAATTGACTGCCTATTCCACTTATGTAATTTTGTTATTTACAAAGAGATTTACTTGCCAAGAACATACCTGGAAAGGAGATTGTAGGATTCCCTAAATTATTATTTATAAAACACCTGTAAGCTTAATGTTGAGTTGAGAGACTAGTTTCATAGTATGAATGCTGAGTCGGTATACGCATCACCTCATCAGGACAGGATTTTAGTCCGTCACAAATGGCCTGGGGTTTAATTTATTTTTATTTAAAATACATACCAAAATTTATTTATGTAACCATTATCCTAAAACTGCTGCTCAGTGGTACAGGTTCATGCATTACATGTCAGCACACCAAAATGAGGAGTGAATAAAGGGAGAAAAAGAAATGGGAACCGAGTAATCGACGGCAATAGAGTGATGTACAACAAAATAAGAATAGCTACTAAATAAGTAGATGACAAGACAGGTAAGTAGAATGTTCGATTATGATAAGGTTTGGAAAAATCAAACATGATTGGAATAAGACAAGGCATTAATGCAAGAAATTTCTGATTCTTATAACTCTTCATAGTACGATGTATAGACTTCTTAATCCAGGCTTTCGAGATGTTAAAGCCACTGATTCTTAATCCCACACAACTGTTCACACTAATTTAGATTTATTTATTGTATACTGCCTTCAAAAGTTCTCGCCTTTTTGTCTAATTATAAAGACTGCGGTGTTGTGCTAAGCATCACATTTGTATATTGACAACCATAAAGCACAGTGTTAGCTCACAGTTTGAGAGAAGGTATATATTAACTGGAAAGGTTCATGAAAACCCGTATTTTTTTCTTCAAGTTCTGTATTGTTGTTGTATTGTTTTCCTGACTGAACTCACCTACATATAAGGAATTCATGAAATATTGGTAATATATATAAAATTCTGTTGTGAAGGTGCAGACTTACTTATTCTTTATTTCAATGAAAGTTTCTTATGATTTTACTGATACTTCTGTATATACTTTAGCTGGTTTCTATGTTCTCGCCTAATATCTTATTTTGTTTACTTCATGTAGTAAAATTTAAAGTTTGAACTTATGTTAACTGTAGTCTTCGTCTACTGATGTGAAAGAAGATAGGTTGATTAATATTCTTGAAACCGATGGTGGTAAGTTTTATATTTCTTTATGTCGTAGTCCACTGCCTGTGCGTCGGTGGCTCAGCGGTTAGGACTCTCGCCTACCATGCACATGGTGCAGGATTCGATCCCCTACGGATGCTCACCGGATATCAATGGTTGGCCTGCAAAATTTGGGCTACCGATATCACATGCTGATAATTCCACACTTCTACCAAAAGTATTTTGTGGAATCAAGCTATAATCAAAATTAAAATTAAACTGAGGTGCTGTGATTTTAATTGATTTACGGTAAATATAATGTTGCGGCAACAAATAGGTTGAATAAATTGAGAATACTCTCTTCATGCGATTTTCAGAGAACACTGAGAAATTTACGTTTGAAGGGAAGCAAGTATTAGACTAATGTACTACGTAAATTTTGAATGCGGAATATCATGTTGACGTCACTTAATAGTTTAATATATAAAAATGTGCAGGTGTTGAGATTGTTACGTCCAGTGGAAGAGGTATCATATATATATATATATATATATATATATATATATATATAGGAACTGAATGCCGTCTTTTCGAGTTAAATCCATAATCTTTCACTTGATTTATTGACTGATTTCAGCTCAATGTATTTCAGCCTTACAAATAGTAATTCTTTCATGTGTTAGGTAATCTCTCAAGCTAGCATTAGTTGATGGCCTTTGTCTGTGGTGGCCTTGCACTGGGAGACTACTATAGATGTAATGGGCGGTGATCGAAAGTGAGATTAAAGTCGTGAACGATTCAAATCAAAATAACTACGTGACCCACGTCAGCTAGCAGAGCTGAGGTCCATTTGTCCAGTGGCCTATGATTTCAATCCCCGAACAACACTGACTTTCATTTTTACTTTCAGTCATCATCTATTAGTTGTAGTTATTCTTTTACTGCATTACCTGTTGTTTCAGTAGTCTGGATTTCCTAATTTACAAAATTTTTGGGGTTACTATCCCAACATTTAAGGCATGTTTGTTGTCTCTATTTCTCTGCATCTATTAAATCTGCATTTAGTATTCAGCTTTTGAGAGACTATGAAGTAAGATGGTTTCGTTCTGTGGTGCCAATTCGGTCTGTCTCGCTTTACTGGAATTTAACACTTTAATTTCAGTAGAGTACAGCCACTATCATTTTGTCATTTAAAATTTAGTAAGTATGTTTGATATGCAGTGAGGAGGAAGGCTCATTGGGACGCCAATTGAATTTCATACAGCTGGGACTTTTATTTCACTTACATTTTGTATTCATATAAGTTGTGATTTTATTGAGTCTATTTAGATTACTCTTAGAAACGCCATTTTACTAAATCTAATTCATCTAAGATAAAGGTGTCAAGCTACAAAAGGAGAGGAGCCAAGAGGTATGTCTTTCCACAAAATTGTCAACTAAGGGCCACGCACACGAACAGACAATATTAGAATGGGAACTACATTACGTCATAGGTGTGACATTTAGCGCACTTGTCATCCCAAGGCAGGTAAAAGACAATGAGCGCAAGCAATAATTATGGACAGTAGTCAGAGATATTAAGCATAGGACAAAACCACAAAAGCAGAACATATAAAGAGATGGATTAGGCGTTGGTAAAAGAGTAGTGTGAATGCTCCACTGCTACTGATTTGAGGTTACATCACTTTCAGTCTTTGAATGTCTAATTCATTACACTCACAAGAGGCAAATCAACCAACCGGGAAGAAACTAACGGAGATGTTCATCCGATCGAATTGTTTGCTAAGTGGATGTACCTCATAGTCGTAGATCTCTTAATGGCATTAGGACTGTATAAACACTGTTTTTTAGATTCTCCATAGCACCAGCCTTTTATTATGTTAATAATTATCTTTTGGAGCTATGGATACGAAAGAGTAAATGAAGGCATTTTGCATGGATTTCACAAAATATTTTATTTCAACGTGTTTGTTAAGCTCAGCTTGTTTACCCACAATATCTCACACTTACTATATTTTTTCCTCATAATATTTCGTTTTACACATATTCTACTTATTAATAGCAAGTAGTATACTCTTTCACTTTTGTCTCATGCCAACTATTAATACTGGTAGAGCTTTTATTAGTTATGATTCCATTGTCATCTGACTGTATCAGTTTGACCTTGTGTGTTTTTAATTTCTGCTCATCAATCTTTTACAGATGCTGATCAGTAGACTCATCTGACACAGTCGATTATATTTCATTTCTATAATTTTAAGTTGACTATTTAGTAGGGCAAGCACATAGTTATTGAATTGAATTTTTGATTTTCCCGTCGATTGTTTGGACCGAAGTGCTCAGTCTCAGGTTGACATGTCGGCTTCTTGTGCAGATGCTTCGACGATGTCTGGGCATTTAATTAGTATACAATTGGTGGATGGTGGCTAGCAGTGGAATCCAGGATGCGCATTTCGTCCTAATGATGTTTACATACTTCCACTATCTGTTAAATCTTAATTGCTGTTTAACTGAAACAAAGGATGGAGCTGGTTGTGCAACAAACACCTGATTACTTCTCCATCCACGGTAAAACTTTGTTCAAAAATACTATGCTGTGATTTCGGTTTTAGCTATTAATCTCAAGTATGATCATAGATTGATATCATTTAGAGACTCACTGAAAACACTTGAGGACTAATCTGATGCCCACTGGTAACTGACTCAAAGCTGAAGTTTCCTGTGGTTCTTCGATTAAGAAATCGCTACCAGTAGATTCCAGAAAGTCGAGGATGAGGAAAAACCCTCCTTGATGATATCAGTTGGAGGTGGCACCGTATATAGCGAATCGGTAAAAGGTAGAAGCCATGGACCATCCAACCACGTTCCATTGGCAGAACAGTCAATAGGCTCACCTCGTAACTGGCAGCCTGTGGGGCCACGAGTGCGTACTGCCAAAGAGCCTCAAACTAGGACAAAACAACTGCCTAGTATTCCCTGGTTTTTGGCGATTCTCTAAACCCGATCTAACTTGAGACTAATCAAACCCTTGCAAACCAAGATGTGAAATTGTTATTTATTAGTTTGTATTTAAGCGGTGCTTGTGCGAGTATTAATCTTATGAAATGCTAAGTATGCATTTTGCCCTGGTATATACTACAGAAATTTGGTCATCGCCTTCCTCGAGCTTTGTTAAGTTGGGAAACAGCTATGAATGGACAAACCAACAAGTCTAGCCTATCCGTAGAATACTGTTCTGAATCGCGTAAGGTGGTATAAATTTCTCGACGTGAATTGTCCAATTATTAAGAATCACACTTCTGTCAATTCTTTAATTATTTTTTGTTTGTCAACGATACCAATGATATTACTGATTTTGGTAGACTGGATCGTGCAATAGACCATGGGGAGTTAGAAGACGGATATACGTTGAACTAAATAAAAGACTGTAGAAGATCGACAATTTGTGGATGACTTATGTCTAATGTCATGCAAACACCAAAATTTTAACAGGTGAAAACGAAAAACCCGACAGAAGAAGCATCCAAAATAGGGAGTTCAAATGAACATAGAGAAGACAAAGGCGACGAAGATACTCAAACAACCAACAACAACAACAACAACAACAACCACTAACCACCATCATTGGCAGAAATCAAAGGGAAGGCGTTTCTTCCACTCACACAGGCAGGCAACATCTTCTCAACTACAGGCGATGCAGATTAAGAAGGCCCAAGACAGGATCAGATAGCCAAGACACAACATCACTAATCTGAAATCAGTGTGGAAATCTGTGCACCCAGAATAAAAAACATGATTCGAATTTTCAACACTAATGTCAACTCACTCAGTCAGTCAGTCAGTCACTCAGTCAGTCGGTCTGTCAATCAATCAGTTAGTGCCTCTATATGGTTGACAGATTCATCATGGAGAGAGAGAATTTCGGAGAGACTGCAGACTTTCACCAGAATCTGCCCCGCTATCTCGATACTGAAGATCAGACGGCCGAGAAGAAATCATAAGCAACAGGTAACTCTGGGAACCAATCAGTCAACTAACAACCTGTCACCAGACAGATATTTCGAAGGAGGTGAAGACACTCTAAGGAGGCCACTGAGTATGATCACACTTCAGGCCGTTGGGTGGCACCATATCTGGAAGCAACAAGTTGGCCGTTGGTCGAAGTGTTAAATTGAGATCGTGTGAGTAAGAGACGAAAGCTTGTAGGCGAGTGCAGATAACTGACCGCAGTGTAGATTCCTGGGTGAAGCCCTATGTTTCACGTTGAACCCAAAGGAATAATAATAATATATAAAAAACAACCTATTTAAAATAGGGAAATCCCATATGAGGTGTGGTATTGATTTTTGAATGAAGTCTAACAGTATAAGTCTATTATAAATTCAGTTGAATCTACATCCCCGGAGAACATGTTTGAAGTAATAATATACTTTGTTCTACTTTTCCTTCCGGTTCAAATTACACTTCAGTAACTTTATACTCATCTAAAATTTATTTATTTTTATGTAGAAGCACAGTGCAAGCCTCAATGAAGCGAAAGCCTCTGTGAGCTTCACTCTCAAGTGTATTATTTATTTTACATGTCCATAGTTATCTGGTTGTTATTTTTATTTGATCGATTATCATTTTATAAGTGATTTTGGGATGGTTACTTTCATTATCGAGTACAATTTTCCAGGATTTCCCCGGGATATAAGGTTATATTATTAACTTTTGGTTTTCTGACGGACAAGGTATTTTTTGAATATTCCCAAGTGTATTATTATTATATCCTTTAATTTCTAGAGGAATATAGGGCTTCAGATGCGCGTCTCCATTGCCTTCGGTTTTCTGCCAACTTTTTCACTCCGCTCCAAGTCTGCCCACACGCTTTCATCTCCTCTTCACATGACCTCCTCCAAGTCACCCTCGCACTGACGACCGATTCGCCGCTTCCTTTTCGGGTTCCACTCGAGTAATGGCTTGTCTGGTGATGTCACTTGATGGTTTCCTCAGCGTATGGCCAATCCATCTCCATTTCTTCCTGCCTATTTGTTTCACAATCGGTTCCTGATTGGTTCGCTCATTGCCAGATATCCCTGTTGCTGATCTTTTCTGGCCATCTGATCTTGAGTATTGAGCGAAGACAGCTGTTAATAAAGGTCTGAAGTTTGTTTGAGATACTCTTTATGACTCGCCAAGTCTCTGATCCGTATAGTAGCACTGGCTTTACATTGGAGTTGAAAATCCGGATCTTATTTTTGATGCTGAATAGTTCTGTTGACCTCCACACAGATTTGAGAGTAATGAAAGCTTGTCTTGCTTTTCCAATTCTGGCTTTGATATCCTCGTCAGTTCCGTCTGCCTGTAGTTGAAACGATGCTTCCCAGGTAGGTGGGTAGGTGAAGGAGGTTGTTTCTTTCAGGTTCCTCCCATTTATGCCAGCTGATTGTTGTCTGTTGTTGTTGCTGTTGATGTTGGCCAGGAATCTTCATCACCTCTGTCTTATCTATGTTCCCTTGAAGTCCAATCTTCTCTGGATGCTTCTTCTACCAGCTTGTTGCTTTTCACTTGCATATCTTCCAGTTTGTGGGAAATCAGACATATGTCATCATCGGCGAAGTCCAGATCCTCCAAGTTTTTTGTGTGAGTCCATTTTATGCCTGTTTCCTCATTGGCAGTCTTCTGTCGCATTATCCAATTTACTGCAATCAGGAAGATCAATGGCAATAGTAGATAGCCTTACCTCACTCCCGTCCTCACTTTCCAGGTGTATTAATCCAATCCTAATCCGTTTCTAATAATTTATTTACATTAGCTAGAATTTAGATTAGGCAAAATAAAACAATCAAGTGGAATGAGTTTATTAAATATTGAAACATTTGTGTATTTCTTTTTGTTTGAATTTTATTATTTAAGTAGCATGGGTGGGGAAGTTCACTGCTTTTCACTTCATTTTTCAGTTTCGGAACATTTTTAATTGACTTTTTTTGAAGTATTCTAATTAGTGGCATCTTTTGCACTAGATAATCGTTTAACGTTGAGCACAGATAGATATACAGTTCACGATGAAGCGTTCGTAGTAGTCAAAAAAATATTTAGCTAAAGAATTGTTATTTGGTGGGTAATATTGAGAAATTCTAGAGCGTGATCTTAGTTATGATATCCACAAAATGCAAAATAATGAGTTGACTTTCACCATATCTCCATGTCCTTAAGTTTCTGTAGAAATTATGCAGTCTCACTTGTACGCGACCGGCAACCTCCTAGCTTGCAGTAGAAGATATGGTTGAAATTATTTCTTTGATATAATTCCTTTATGTTATTGGTGGAATATAGGGCTTCAAGTCAGAGCTTCGACGTTTCCGTAGCAGTGGTTTTATTTTTATGGGGTGGGGTTGCTAGCGTCACGCACAAACTTCTCTCTATACTGGCCTTACTGCCGGCTTAATTAGGTCTAGGAGTGAGTCAGCCAGGGAGCGAACTTCGAACCATAAGCGTGGTTGGCGAGCATTCTACCGGTAAACCACCGGTGCACCGTGGCTGAAATAGCAGTGCATATTAATTAACTTAGATAATATATCACACTGTAAAACAGTACTATTAGTGAATGATGTTTCGAACAGAATTCATTGTTCATAATCATATTATTTATCTGTTGTATCTCATGTATAGTTGATGTGATTCTGAACAATAAGTTATGCTCGAAACGCCATCCATTAAATATTAGTGTTTCACTAGGTCATATATCAAATAAATAAATAAAAATGGTATTTCATACCACTGTAATGGTAGAAGACGAAGACTTGATGAAAGAATGTTTATTTGGATACTGGTATCTGTGTATATATCCAAATTAGGTACACCTTATCTTTAGTACACCATCTGCACAGATCTTTGTGCTGTGGTACTTCTGGCCTTCTTATTGTTTCTTTGTGTTCCTTTCACGTCTCCCATGTCTCTCCAGAACGCTGTATTGTTTGCCTTACCTGACTTCAAATCTATCTCCCTGCTATTTGATGTTTTTATGCTAACAAATGTCTCTTTATAAACTACTGATAAATCTTATCAGTAGCACTGGCCACACCACCACAGAACCCAGGTTCTATAAAATATATTGATGCTGGAAATCCATTAACAGAAGTATGGTATGAAAATTAAACCTGATATAGTAGTATTAAAAATGATAAAAGAATAAGCAGTCAATAAATACATTGCCTTCAATGAAAACAAAAGCGGTGGACAAACTTTCGTAATGAACACATTCGAGTCCTTGAAGAAGTTCATCCTCACTTTATCAGTAATAACAAATAGAGTTTTGGATTCACCATCTGATACTTCAGAACCGAAATATCCACCTCCCTTTTTTACTTTGTAGAATTTTACAGGTATTGATGTATTTGTAGATAAGTTTGAAAAGGGAATACAGCAAGTTGGTTGTTAAATGGACAGAAACTCTGGTCTGGACACTAATGGAACTTTAAATTTCTCTTTCTGCCTAAAAGACGAAAATAAAATGCTTAGTTCTGATCAAATTGTTTATCGTTATTTTTCATTCCAATGCATATTTCGTTCTTGTCTATTTTACATTTTTCTGTTAGATTTACCGAAAAATTTAAGCTTAAAGTACAATGCAGCACTTTCAAAAATGTCATGTACATCTGCTAAATTTCCAAGGGGACACATATATATTACTTGGTTGATTACTGACTCACATGTATGTTGTGAAACTGACCAAATGAATGATCTAGTTTTAAGTGAATATTCAACAGTTGGTAGTCATGATGTCAGTTGTGTAGGTAAAGTGGTACAAGGTGCAACTGAAATTTATATTTATGGATCTGGATCCTTTATTGTTCCTGGTAAGATGTTTAATATTTTGAAACTTAGTACTAGTTGTTCCATCACTAAACCGAGAGATACCACTAACACCTTTTTCATTTAAAAGTCAACTATTTCAGGACATATAAATTCTTGTGTTAAGGGTTACTGGACCATGGGTTTGATACATTTTACAACATAAGACAACCTTTAGTGTTGACTAAGTGTTTGTTAGACTCCCAGTCTATTAGTTTTATCTGAAGTAACATTTAGTGAATAGATTTTCACATGGTTGTTCATTACTGTTGTTATTGAGTAACATGTTTTCGACATTTCCTTAAAATATATGAGTATATATATATATATATATTGTAGTACATCCATACTGTATCAATCAAAAGTGAAGCTTTAATTTTTCCTCTGCATTGAGATCAATGATGGTACAGTATTTCGTTTGACTTCTAGCTTATACTCACAAAGTTTTCAGGTTAGTTCACTACTGAATTGATTAACCCGTAGCCATAATGGCAATCTTTACAACCGGTTGAGTAGATTAATATCATATAAGGCAAGTATATGTAACGATATATGATTGTTATGTCATGCTTATTGTTATGTCATAACATGTCATGTTATGTCATGTCAGTGTGTCATGCTGACACTATGAAGGATTTGGTTCACAGTTTTCAAGGGTGACTAATATGTAGCCAAATGAATTACTTTATTGGCTAAGTCAATTGTTCATGTTGTCGTTGCCTAAGGTCGTAATAAATTTCAGTACACAAAAAGCTGATATTTAGACTATACTTTTGTTTTACGTTATATTTTATGACAAAGCACTAAAAACTGTTTAGATTTACGATCTCCCACTTCATATATGCCGGCTGAGAGTTTGATAAGCCTTACCAGTGATGCTTAAAACTCTGTGACTGTTTCTTATCATCAGGGAAGTATTTTACTGAGTACTGTGTAATTTTACTAATGGAGCATCGTATGAATGATAATGATTTTCATCTTTTTTCTCTTTTGAAAACAAGCTGACTTCTACAGCATTGATGAAGTTGTAGAACCATTGCACTATGAAACCTCGTACACATTCTTGCTGCTTACCACCGTGTGGAGCATAACATTAATAACATTGAATTTCATAGTGATGAAAGGAATTCCGGATATGAATGAGAAAATTAGTCCCACTATTGTGCTCGATGGATGGGTAAATTTACGTTTAACTTATTATTATTGGTATCATGTAAAATGTCATAGGAAGCTTTTGACTTAGTTATTCTTCGATTATACTAAAGTTTTAGGTATGGAAGCGTAATACACAGCAATATCAGCAACTGAAACAAAATAACTCTACTCTAATTATCCAGGTATAAAAAGGCATTGTTCAGGAAACTATTTTGCTCGGTAAAAAGTAAACATCTGTGCCTTAGTCTGTAAAGAAAGATGCGCAGTAAAAAATAGGTTAAAATATTTATCTTCTGATATGAAAGGTCTGAAGTCTGTAAAGTAATAAAATTTTCACTTAATACATAATCACTTTTCATGTAAACCGAATGTGATGATACTGTGTAGACAACCAGTGGGACAATAAAGACTGTAGTAAAAATAAAATATCCTATTACCAAATGAATCATTTTGTACGGAACAACATGCCCATCCAACTCTATTCTCATATTGTTCGACAGACTGTATGATTAGACTTACATTTCTGTCCTGAACTAGTTATCTTAGTAGAAAATATAGGAGAGTGCATAAACCAGAAAGCAGATGTCTCACAGAAACAACTGCTTTTTGTTATGCAGACGTCTGGTATGAAATAAAAATTTCGGGATCCTATGTGATAAAGTATTATTTAGAATATAAGTGACCGGTGACAAATTGCAGAAGTGAAGTAATATTACGTAAGCTGGTTTCATTGGTTGTTACTTCACTATTCAGATATTTTAGAGGGTATAATAAGTGTTTCTTTCATAGTTATTGTGCAGGCTGATTGCTACTAGAGTGTGTTAGCAGTAATATCTTTGACTTTGAGTCTGTGTTACGACTACCCGAATCCTTGTGAAGGCTTTGTTTTCGTCTCAATAAAAGATATGTCGATTAACTTTTAACATGTCAAAGAAAGAGTTGTAAGAGGATCGGTAAGCCACTTAAATAACCAACTAAATCACATCGTCTAAAAACAAAACAAGCAATAGCTGATCATCATGTTCTTGTGAAATTAACTGAGACTTGAAGTGATTGTCACATCATGATTATTAGAAGACAAGGAAAAAGTAAGTGTATAGACTATCATTGTGACAATAGATTCGTGTGTTTGGAGAATGCGATGACAGGCCTCACCTAATACAACTAATGGAGACTTTTATTTTAAGTCATTCGGCTGCATCGTAGTGCGTCGATTTGTAACAATGATGTTCTTCTGTTTTGTCAATTAGTTAGATATACTTATAAAAAATGCCCAAACGAGATTGAAGACTGCCTTCATCTATCCTTGGAACCCCTCTTCTCAAGTGTCATATTGACATAACAGTGAACAGTCATCAGTGCAGTTTAATTAAAATGACGATTTTGCATCAATGTTAGCATTGATTGATTGTTGTCAACAATCTACAGAATGAAGAAAGCAAAAGAACTAAGTGAAGTAAATATTTCTTCGCTCAGTCATTTTGGCTTCTAAATGTCTAAGTGGGGACTTCTTTCTACACTGAAATCTACAAAATTGGTTACACCTTACCAACAGCGACCACCTCCACAAATATTCGAATGTGGAGACAACAGCAATCTGGATAAAATATTCAGATGAAATATTTGCGAATTTCACCGTCTGAGAGGGGAATCTTATTATTAGTTCATGAGAATAGTTGGAAATTATTTAAGTCATATAATAGTGCACGCTAGTTAAATCGCGATAATCTGATTACTAGATTGCCTTGCTCATTAATGGAGTAACCGGATTAATTTAACTCAATGAGCCTATAGAGGCAGTCAGAAACGAACTCATTTCTCACCAAGAACTCGAACTTAGGGCAAAAGTGCCACTTGAGGATATAATGCTGGGAGTGCAGCTATGCGTGACTTCCACAGTATTTAAATTCCAGGGGAAAATATACAAACAAACTGAGGGAGTTGCCATGGGATCACCGATATCCCCGATTGTTGCAGACATATTCATGGATAGCTGGGAAAACATAGCGATTGAAGCGTTTAGCCCCTCCCGAAAAGTATGGTGGAGGTATGTACATGACACATTCACTGTTCTTAGAACACAGGATATAGATAGATTTTTGGAACACATCACCTCAAACGTGGAGGCAATTCAATTCACCTATGAATTGGGAAGTCAAGAAGGGGAACTTGCAATGTTAGATTGCAGCGTTAAAAGGAAAGAAGATGGGAAGTTAAACACTAGTGTTTACAGGAAACCTACACATTCAGACAAATGTTTAGACTTCTGATAATCCCATCCTATGTCAGTAAAAATAGGATTGGTGAAATATTTAAGTGACAGAGCACAAACACTAAGTAGTACCAGGCAAAATCTAAGACGGGAAGTGATACATATAAGAGAAGCCTTGAAACTTAATAATTACCTTGATAAATTAGTCAGAAAATATGTAGGGAAATGTAAAAATAAAATAAATAATGATAGTAGTGATAGCGATAATAATAATAATAATGACGACATGCAAGTCAAATGTGCGCGAGACAACACAAACAATAAGGAATCTAAATCATCAGTAGTAATTCCATGCAAGGAAACCTTGCGCAGAATTCTTAACAAGGCATCGGTGGTACAGCGGTTAGGACTCTCGTCGATCATACACATGGTCCAGGGTTCAGTCCCCTGCCGACCCACACCTGATATCTATGGTCGGCCTGCAAAATTTGGGCTACCGATATCACATGCTGAAAATTTCATACCTTTAATAAAAATACAGTGTGGAATCAAGCTGTAATAAAAAAGGTGGCTGGCATTCAAACCCACAAACTCAATTAGAAACAAGCTTTGTCGGTTAAAAGAACCTTTAGAATAAAACAATTTAGTTTATCCAATACCCGTCCTGCAATGATTGTCAGGTCAAATACATAGGTAAAACTAGTAGAACAGAGGTAGTCAGACTAGCCGAGCATAAAAACCTAGCAAAATCTAGATTAGTTGACCCGAGTAACGTAAGAAGTGTAGAGAATAATTCAACTACCCCACTCACTACATGCAATTACACACAAACATACAATAGCATGGGATGAGATTACAGTTTTAAAATCTAATGTCACAGGGTGGAGGGAGAGATTGATAACAGAAGCTTTGTTTATCGAATCAACTGAGAGAGAATACATGTAATAGGAATGATTCAACACCTGTTCCAGATATCTGGAAAATTCTACTACCCCTACGATAAATAGGAGAAAACAAAGAGAACTACAAAACTCATGTTTTGAAGTCGTGTGTTTATAATTGATATGATTATGAATAATAAATTTTGTTCGAAACGTCATCCAAAAAATAATACTGTTTCTTCGCTGTGTGATATAACTAATAAATAAACTAATATGGAATATACTACCTTAATTCTGTAAATTTACTTAAGTGAATTAATATAGTTGGTATGACGAATTTCATTCAATTTACAGTATGTTTGTGAAAGATTTTTCCATTGCTGAATCAGTCAGTTTGTTTGTTATATGTGTATTTTTAATAGGTGTCTGAAGACAAAAAGTTTTTATTTTGACAACATTTCAAGCAAAATGAATATGCATAAGTCCATTAATTGTTGGAATATTTTAAATTCACAACCGTATAAATATATATATATATATATATATAATTTGGTACGTAAGGCATCCACGATACAAGTGCTTTCAAGCTTCCTTTTCTGTTTTCTTTTTTTTAAATATTTATAGCAACATAGATTCGTCCGAATACCAATCGAAGAGTTAACTAAGGAGGAGAAATACTGTTTATATGGATTAATACATAAATATAATGATATAGTCGAGATTATTAATTGTATATTAAGTAAAGAGAAAAAGCCTGAGGAGTCATTATTTATAAGGTCGTTTGATTGGTCAACATATATCCCATTAAGTTTTCGTGGCAGTCATTATGACTCTTATTCAGGTCTAGAAAGTGGTTTTGAAGGGAGAATGCATAAAGTGAGTGGGTCTTTGAGTTCATTTACAGGAAATTTATTTGCAGTAAATGCGTTAACAAAATTTAATCTAAGAAAAAGTAGTGGTCATCATATACCGATGATATTTCAACGAATGTCTGCCGAAGGAACTTCAGTGGAACCGCCTCATTTTCCTGTTTCTTCTATTGTTCGACCTTCTTATCATTCGAGTGACGAGGATGTGGGTAGGAAGGATAAAGTAAGTGTGAGAAGAAAAAAACCGGCGAAGAAAAGGAGATTACAGAAAACAGCAATGGAGATGCTGATTGCAGATTTGCGAAAAGGTGAAGTAACAAACAGAACTAGAAGGGCCTTGGTCTACAGTAAATTTGGTTTGAAATTATAGTGTTTGATTTAAATTCAAATGGAATGATCTGTGTATTTAAGGCTGCTTTGGTTATCAAATAGTTTTTATGTAATCAACTTTATGAATCCAATTGGATTTAAACACTCACGCGGTAAATTAAACATTTATATACAATTTGGTGAAGGAAACCTTTCGATAAACACTTTTTTATTTCATCCTGAAACATTCTTTGTGAACAATATACAGTGGATTTGGTTTCCGTCAGCTCAAGCACAAATCATATGATACAGAAAGCATTTTGGAAAAACGAGCAGGACAGAACATTTTTTCTGAAATAAAAGCTATCGAATTTTAAAACTGCTTATGCATACCTCCTTCCCCATAGACTTCTACAATAGAACTATACTTCTATGATGGAATATCGTGGCAACTTACTGTTCAAAATTCGAAATTCCTGACCAAATTAAATGCATCTACGTATGCAAGAGAGCCCAATAGTTATTAGCATGTTAACTCTGTTGAACACTGAAAAAAATGTAAACATTTTCCAGTCTTTTAACTGTATCAAACTTATCTAAATACAAATCACTGTAAAAAACTTTGTTAATGTTACTTTTAACATTGGTGAACAAAATAAATAAAGAGGTGAATCAGCATACTTTTTCAGATTATAGTTAGCATACAGCAAGTAGGATTTTATAAGTCATAAGTTAGTAGGACGGCCAGACTGTAGCTTGACATTTATATTAGCGTAAAAATGGAGAAAAAGAACTATTTCGATAAAATAAAAAAGCCTAAATTTGTATTGTAAGAGCATGTCATTTTATTTCACAGGTTCTCATCAGGTGAAGACTACCTGAGGTTATAGTGGTTGTAAAAAATTGAAAATAAATTAATTCAGTGTTAGAATGATGTCAGAGAAAATTCTTCAAAGTAGGACATCCAAAATGTATGCATCGTGGTTTTTCGATCCATGTCATCATCGATTTATATGCCAGAGGGAGGAGACGAAAGAAAACAAAAACTCAGAATTACTTTGTAAGATAACCAAGCAACTCTTAGAGATTATAGTTCATAAGATTTAAATTAGACCAGGAATCTGAAATCCCTACTACAAATCATTATGGAATGATTGTAACCAAAATGTAGTTACCGAGCCAATTAGACACTGATCACATCCTCTTTCTGTGTGCAAAAGTTTGGTTGAAAACGTTTGATTTCAGTCCCATCGACAAATCTAGTAAGTGTGGTCTGAATATTTTGAATTAACCGAAGATCTCGATAAAATGGTTTTTTTGTCTAAGAGATGTCTAGTGATTGCACTTTGTGAATAAGTGCTTTCCTTTAGGCTTGAATTTCTTGGAGAGTGTTCAGAACACCGGACAGAGGCTCTTCTAGTTTTTTTCAATGAACTTGCTACCTCAACTGCATCTATAACCACTGTAATTTCAGGCAGTTTTCACTGGATAAGTTCTTGTGAAATATAATGGTGTCATTTATACTACAAATGTGGTCATCTTTAGTATATCGGAATTTATCAAGGCAGCCACGTGTATGAAATTGGATGGAAAGATGAATTAAATCTTAAGTACTCTGTTTCAATATTATTTAAGCTGTTTTAATACTCATTTTCACCGTAATGTTTTTACAAAGTGACTTCTGTTAGCCTACATTAGAACAAAGATATGAATAACGAAATAGTTTTTTTTACAAGACTACCTGAGGTAATTTACTTTCGAAGAGCATTGTTAACATTTGGTTACTGAGCTGTTTGTGTTTTTAAGATGATTATTGTATGAGCAGTTAATTATCGCTTATTCAAATAACAGCTTAGTGAAATCACTCTGGATTTAAGCTTACTCAGTAGTGTATTGGTGTATGTGTGTGTTTGTGGGTGTATTAATATAAATATTGATATAAGAAAGTGGTTATTTACAGCCACGTAGGTGTGCTGAATTAAAGAATTGTAGTTCATAACAGTATTAGTGTTTTTTAAGTAATATCGATTTGTAAAGTAAGATCAATGGAATTACAGATCATTAAAGATGCTCAAATAATAATAATAAAAATATAGTGGCAAACAGCATATCAACTAAAATTAAGGAAATTTCTGCAAAAAATTGAGGATCATTTGAACCTAAATGGCCAAGGTAAGGATAATCCCCGAACTGGCTTCTTTTGGACACATAAATTAGGCTTCTTAATGTGGATCCCAATGGCCTCAGCAATATTTAGTAAACGAACTCTTAAGGAGAAGTTGAGATTTGTTGGTATGCGGTAAATGACTATGAAAGCCTCGTTGAAATCAACCTTGTGTTCTGTATCCACAAGATGAGATAGAATAGCGCTACGAATAGATTTTGTTTGTCTTTTGCTTAACCACGCAGGGTGATGTTCGGAAATCCAGAAGAAGAATCCAGAAGAGGAAATTATTGAAAAGGATATTCTTTGCTCAATTATTTTGTTTTTGTAGATGTCCGAATGAATATTTTCGCTATACTAAAGCAGTGTGTGTAATATGCATCCACACCTATATGAGTTACATGAAATAATAATATAAAACAAAAATCGACAGTATTCTTCATTTTATCTCTTTTTAAATGAACATCTTAATATTTAATTGGTAGATGGTGACTAGCAGCAGAATCCAGGATGTGCATTTCGTCCTATTTGGGACTCGTCATCCGGATGTGCCTGCATTTCTCAGTGAGTGAGGATGTTCTCATCGAGGCTCGAACCCAGTATCCATAGTTTCAAACGCCAAAGCGTTATCCACTAGACCACTTGGGCCAATAGGACAAAATGCGCATCCTGGATTCCACTGTTAGTCACCATCCACCAATTAAATACTAACTGAATGCCCAGACATCGTCGAAGCATCTGCACAAGAAGCCGACATGTCAACCTGAGACCGAGCACTTCGGTCCATCAATCGACGGGAAAATCTCAAATTCAATAGAACTTCTAATATGCTACAAAGCTGACAGCAATCCTAGTTAATTCTTGTGGCAACAGTATAAAAAAAATAATTTTTACTAGCAAGTCCAGGTTAAACAAGTTACTTAGTAAATATTTGCATTAGCAATATTTTAGTCTGCAGAATAAAGTCTTGTTGACATTGTTAACTATAAAGTACCACAAACAGATATGTAGCACCGAAATGGGTGTGAACTACTCGTTAATCGGGTGGAAATAATTGTAATATGCCTTCTACAACATCAGTAGTCTATCATATCGTTATTGTGGTGTTATCATCTCCCAATCAGCACTAAAATAACCAGTTAGCACAGATTCTAGCATGTTGATTCGTTATGATAATAAGGGGATAAATGTTTCTTAGGCAAGCCGAATGACAGTGTATTCAATCAAAAGCATACAGTGGGAAGTGTGGATTTTTTAAAATAGAAAAATGCTTTACGCTATTTTTAATTATTGGTCGTTATGGTGAGCATTCAACACTCTATTAAACACAGTTTCCGTACAGAAAATCTATTGGTTATTTTAAAACGTTACTCTTGTTTCTGTTCTATCACCATCAGTACTAATTCTTCCAGGCATTTGCCTTGATAGATGTTCTTAGTAAGAGAATCGAGAATTGCACAAGATGTTCTAATTGCTTGTTATAATCATTATTTTAGATTTTCTGTATGTTGGCAGTATCATTGAATTTCTCATTCGTAAATCAAGTTTTGCGATACCTTTGAACACTACTTATAATCAGCACTACTGATACACTGACAACTGCAACTGTTTAACATTATAATTACGAATATTTCTCTTTATTCATCAAACTGTACAAAGTATCCTCAAAATAAATAAGTGGTGGTGACTTCATAGTTAAATCTGAAACGAAATTACTGGTTATAACGAGATTCGGATTAATTGCCTCTTCATTACAAGCCAGACATTTTACTTACTTATATGCGATTCAAAATTGATGACTCAGTCTCATGTTCAACTGAATCACTATATCAGTCAGAGAACCATTGAAAACCAGGAGTACTGGACAGCTGCTGTTTCATCCTAGTTTGGGAATCATCGCCAGTACGCATCCACTGGCAAGCTTGTATACCATTCAGCCACTGGGACCCGATTCAATGGCTCATGAATTCTAACTTCTACCAATTCGTGATTTAGCGTGACCCCAACCTTTGTCGTTGGTGGGACATCCATCCACACACGTGATATCTAATTGAACCTCACTGGTAACGACTTCTCACTAGAACTCCATCCTGCAGTAAGTCACTAGCAAGCATCAGATTAATTTTGTATAGTTTGGTTTGTAAGGGTTAGTTATGTTTTTACGAGTTGATCATGGTTTGATATCAGTTAGAGAACCATTGAAAACCAGGGAGTACTGGATGGATGTCCCACCAACAACAGTGGTTGGGGTCGCGCTAAATCACGAATTGGCAGAAATTAGAATCCATGATCCTTTGAATTGGGTCCCAGTGGCTGAATGGCATACGAGCTTGCCTTATAACCGGAAGGTTCTGGGTTCGAATCCCAGTGGGTGAGTACTGCGATGATTCCAAAACTAAGATGAAACAGCAGTTGTCCAATACTCCCTGGGTTTCAATGGTTCTCTAACTGATATCAAACCATGATCAACTAGTAAAAACATAACTAACCCTTACAAACCAAACTATAGAAAAATGAATCACTATAGGTTTATTTCAGCTATTATATGGTTGAAACATAAAAGACTGTCAACGCACAGCCCGTCCAGACATTTCTTCGCATTCCCGATTTAACGACACTGAATGGACAGCCGAAGCAGATGACTGACTATCTGAGAGGACAAATTTCGTAAGATATGCCATAAAGATATTAATTTATTATGCGCAGTCGTGAACCTAGCTGAAGAGGACGGCAGAAAACAACAAAGTGGAGATGTGTTGCTGAAGCTCTTTGTTCCGCTCGGAACCCAAGGGAATAATAATAATAGTAACTCATTCTGCTGACTGTGAAATCTGGTATTTATCCTGTTTATAAATGGAAACTAGACTGTATAATTAAGGTTGTAATCAAAACTTCATATATGAAGGCATTTAACTTCACACTGTTTATTACAAATACTATCTTCCCTTTCCATAATTGGCAGTGCACTTTAAAGTTATTCTTAAGCACATTAAACATATACTGAATCCATCGCAGTGTTGCAAACAGTTTATTGTAAGTGGAAGTCAAGTGTTACAATTTCTTATCGCTGTATTTTGAAGTGATGGTGAGTTTAAACTATAAGTTTAAATAAATGACATTATTCACAATATAAATGTGACATCTCATGAAGAACAGTGGAAAACTGGGGTTACAGACTTTCAGACAAGTACTCTACATTAATCAGACATTTATGAAATGAAATATTGCTGGAAAGGGTGTAAGTCTTCGTACTCAGAATAAAATGACGTTATCCACAACATGTGGTAATTTAGCAGGCTTGTTTAACTTGTTTAAATCATTTTTCATTCACTGAGATAGCTTTTGAGTACGGTGTGATTCCACTGGGTAGTGACCATTTTGATGATAATTCAATATTCACCATATTATTTCATAACAACTGTATCAAATATACATAAGCGATGGCCATAACTAGTTGCTACAAGGCGTCAGTCTCTTACACTGCTGAAGAATGTCATTTTTAATCCTTCCAAAATACTCAGGCAGGCGCACTAATCACTTTAAAATTTCCTTCTTTCATATCTAGTGTACTTTCAGTTAAGTGTGAATGTCTATTTTCTTCTAGCATTTATTCAAAATCTGGTAAAATGAAGCATAAAACGGAAGTTGTAGCTTAAAAAACGCTTCTGTACTTAGAGAAATAAAGTATTGGTCAAGAAGTAATTTAGGTAATCAGCTTACTTTTATATTCCGAATGTAATAATGAGAAGCTAACTATGGTTTAAAACAGCTCCAAGAATAGAAATTTAGATTTTCATCATCAGCCTTTACACCCCAGCTATATACTTCTGCGTAGTGGGTGGTAAAACTGGTAATCTTAGATTTGCGTTGTGTCTAAAAATCTGTAAATGTCCACGTGTCCCAATACACTGCATTGCATACATAATGATAGTAAGCGACAACAACCAACGTCACTGGTGCTTACCGGCAGTTAGACGACTCAAGAGTAGACATTTGACAGTCGTCTTAAGTAGAATTTTCCAGTGAAGATCACAAAGATTTGTAAAAAAAGAATCAGCTGGAAGTGTTGTTAGAAGGAGTCATCAAAACTATCCAGTAGGTTTTTGACAGAAAATAAAGAATATAGGCAGAAGTGTGTATCTACATGTTATGCGAAAAGTCTCCCTGTACTCTGATTCGTTATTAGCAACAGTTATATAGGTTTTTTTAGTTAACGGATTAAGATCAGATCATTATTTAACTTCATAAAAAAACACTCACTCATACATTTTCCTCCATTTTATACAAAAAAGGATGTGAAACAAACAAACGTCAACAGAATTAGGAGGGAAGACAAGTTATACAAAATCAATATTCCCCATTGTGGTTACCAGTACAACTCAGGAACGTAACTGGTTAATCTTGTCGGAAAAATAAGGAAAACTTGTAAAATACTTTTATAGAATTTAAACAACATATATATATATACTTTGCAGTCATAGCAACAGTTAACTAAATAGACAAAATGAGCTATTATATTGGTTTTTTGTTTTAATGACGATCATCTACTCAATTTTTGTTTGTGTTTATCCTTTTTATAGAAATTAAAGAGTGTGTGTAATCGTGCTCCCAGTACGTATTGATAAACGGACATATTTGTTGTAAACAAATAGGCTGTATATATATATATATATATATATATAAACAAAAAATCTATTGGAAATAAGTCTTAGTACAAAAGAATATTAATTAAAACCAATAAAAGATAACACTACAGTAGGAGATAAATAAATCTGCTCTTTTGAATAACACGTTTCTTAGCTCACAAACCCTGCGCAAACAGTTATTCCTGTTGATTGTGGATATTACTGAAGTGCGAAGATAACTCAACATTAAGTATAAAACAAACATGAATATAAACGAACCTGAGGGTGGTAAGTTATTCATATTTTCCTTGTTAAAAGTAAATTGCTGTTATGTGAATGAGTCATTTTATTTATTCTATGCAAAGTGATGATAAGGACTTTTAAATTTACTTCATTCACAAGTAGAATCACAACAAAAGTATATAAAATATGTATATGTATGTTTATATTTTTGAAGCCAAAGTGATGTCTGGTAGAAATAAATTTCGCAAAATAGACTTTAATCAAACCACGGGGAAGCCAGATAGTTGCATATCCGTCAACCGTGCGTGTATGCTACTAGGTGTAGTAAATCTTGATGATTATTTTCACCAATGCTGACTTCCACAGGAATTCAGCATGCACATTTCGTCCAATTCGGGACTCGTCAGTTGTTTGCAAGTTATCGAATCCCCATATTCAGACAACGGATTCTAAATATGACGAAACGCTCATCTTGGATTCTGGTGCTAGTCACCATCAGGCAGAATACTCTCCCATCAATCTGTACTAGGAGCCAGTATGTCAAAGAGAGAGACCATTTCAGTGTAACATAATCAATCGGTGGGAAATGCAAACTGACCTAAAAACAAATAACTGATGAAAGCTGCTTTGAAAAATTCAGGATTTGGGATTGTAAAAGCACTGAGTACTATAAAAACAGAATTCGGGCACAGTGGTAGAGTAATATGCTATAAGAAAATACTTTTATTTGATAAAAACATGAGGTCATAGAGTATTATTTGTGACCAAAACGACCACAGCAAAAATAATACCGTATTAGTTTACAAACAAACAGTTACACTATTACTAGTAATCTTGTGGGGTTTCGTTTTTAATCAGCCTGAAGTATAATAAGTATGAGAATATTCAACAAGCATGACATATTTTTAAGAAAATTTTTGAATTCTAGCTGAAGTACGAAACACGAATAGACTGGAAAAGAGTTAAGTGCCCTCAGATGAAAGTGTGACATCAACTTATGAAGCTTGTGTTTATTCGTCTGAAACAAGTAAGGAGATATAGACTATTTGGTTAAAGTTGTGTAAATTGTAGGAATAAATGTTTGGAGGCGGTTTGCCGTATAATAAAATATGTTTAAAGCTAGTACATAGTGGCAGTTTATTTATTGGATATATCACAAAGTGGAAAAGTATTATTTACAGGATGACGTTTTGAACAAAAGTTTGTGTTCATCACCACGCCAGTAATATCAGATGAGTGAATAGGGAGAAAGAAATCTTGCTCACAACATCAGCCAGCCACTAATACTGTCTCACTATGTGATATGTCCAAATTATGGAGATGACATACTTCAAAATGGCTGACAACGGAACAGATGAAATCACTCTTTGTTATCTTCTAGATTCAGTAAACTTTCATTACTCCTCCCTATGTCTTCATCTAATGTAGTTTCATTGCATTCTTTTTACTTACTTTCAAGTATGCTTTTTCGAAGTGTGTCAACTTGAACTACTGCGCTTTTGCGCAAAGTTTTCCTTTGATATATTAGTCAAAAATTAATTCCATTTTCAAGTATTGGTTTGTAGGGGATTTGACTAACTGGTTACAGGATTTTCATCATGAGGTGACATCGGTTAGAGAAACACTGGAAAACGTGGGAGTACTGGACAGCTGTTATGCCCTAGTTTGAGACTCTTCATCAGTACGCACCCACTGAGGTTCGATTCTGTTTTATTTTCAGTGAACAAGCTACAACTTCACAACTGTTCTCTAGGGATAATATATATTTCTGGGAGTAAACTAAGATTCAGATGAGCAGTTCATCACAGGATATCACAATACAATAGATACGGCTTACTTAGGTTAAATCATATATTTCAATTAAAAGACATCTAACTGATTGAAATCTGATACCTAAGTGTAGAGTTTTCGTCATTCAGATATTATTTTACCAGGTTAGGAGAAGGAGACTACATGAAAAATCGTTTCACCCCGACTCCTGACATCTTTGCTTCAAAATATATTGTAATGCACTGTTCTTCTTCATGCGGGCAAAACTCAGCCAGATTAGCCTCGGCATGTTCTTCCTAGAATTACTGTTATACGCTGGTAACATTATTCGAAAATCGCATCACTTCGTCTTGTGTCTTATTACAGCACTATTCCTTGCACAAGTGACAAGCTATTCCTAATTGCTATGGATTTATTTTCGGCTTGTAATTTAACGTTTTTATTATTCCTTGTTGAGAAGCGTGAATGAAAGGTATCAGTTTTTGAAACATCAACATAGAGTGCAAGAAGTCAGCATCTGTTATCGTTGACTATCTTGCTGTGTTATGTGTTACACTGGCCTAGGTAGTTTATAATTTGGTCATAAATGAATTAAATATTACTAAAACGTGTCCACTTCAACATCGTTTTTCCTTACACCTGATATACTGTCATTTTTTGTATTTGGAGTATTTTTCTGCTCTTATTATTGGTCTTATATATGCTTTGAATATAAATGAATAAGCCTTTCTGGTGGAAAATTGTGTCATTTATGAAAACTCTTCGTTTTATTACTGTTAGTAGACATACATAGATACCTGAGGCAATTATTGTAAACTTTTGAAACTAATAGAAGTTTACGGATTCCGACTGAAATTATAAGTAAAATATCTTTATCCAGTTTCTCTATATCGATATCCACGAAACTGTTGGTTTTCTATTCACCGAAAGAGTTGTCAATATGGACAACTATCGAACTCAAGTGAAATACTTTTTGTCTATACTTCTGAAATGAAATGAACAGTTGAAGATTTACCGCGTCCATTCTTGATAATCCTTACATTTCCGCTTGTTACTCAGTAGAAATTCATATTATATATTGCAATATCCATTTTCTTCAGCAGTCTTTTCCATTTAAAATTTATTAAAAAGTATGCAAACAAGAGATTTCTTGAATTTGTCATTTGCAAAGAATACAGTTATTAAAAATTTGGTTTACTTGAGATTATCAGCTAACCCTTAATGTTATTTGGAACCCCCTAACGACATTTGCGTCAGTGGCACAGTGGTTAGGATTCTCACCGACCATTCACATGGTCCGGGGGCCGATCTCCCGCCGACGCACACTTGAAATCTATGGTCAGCCCGCAAAATTTGGGCTACCGATATCACATGCTGAAAATTCCATACCTGTTAGAAAAATACGGTGTGGAATCAAGCTGTAATCAAAAAAATAAAAAATAAAACTTGTACACTGTGGTAGAGTATAATTCCATTACGCATAACATTTTGTTTTGATGAAGTGACACAGTGTTATACAGTAAATATTTACTGAGAACGCTTCGAGCACAATTTATCGCTCATAATCATATCAAGGTGCTCACATAACTGCGTATGACATATTTTATGAAAAGACTTTCTGTGTGGCAGGCAGTTTAGTGCTAGAGTGAATCGGGTTCTCTTCACTTTTTAGTTCATAGACAGCATGATAATAGGTCATTCATCGTTTGAAAGTAAAATTCAGAAAAAAGTCTTACAGAGAGGTTCACTACACTAAGTTGCATTTCGCGGTTAGGACGCTCGCCTACCATGCACATATTCCGGGTTTCGATCCCAGGCCGATGGACTCCTTTACCTCGCTCAGCCAGAAATAATGCTGGTAAAGAGGAAAGGTTGGGCATGAGGCTAGCAACCCCATCCTGTAAAATAAACACTACTACAGAAACTTCAAGCCACTAGCTTGAAGCCCTATGTTCCACTGGGAACGTGAAGGAAAAAAAGTTGTTTTTCAGTGATAAGCTTCAAAGAGAATCTCCATT